GCGCCTGCCTGGCAAGTGCAAGGTCGTGAGTTCGGTTCCCGGTACCGGAGAAAAACCAAAAAAAAAAAAAAAAAAAAAAAAAAAAAAAAAAGAAAAGAAAGAAAGGAAGAGAACAGAAAAGAGAAGAGATAATTTTATAGTTTAAAAAGGTGTTTTAGTACTTTGACAAGCCTTATTGGGAAAAGAAAAATGCTCTTGATAAGAAACATTACTTTGTATTACAGGAAATCATAGCTTCCAACAAGAGATAAATCCTGTGATTAAAAACATTTCTTCCTGCCTCTTGTTGAGGCGTGAGGCTCCAAAGTTCTTTGCAAAATAATACATCTGGGAGTCTTAAAATTAGCCTCTCTTTTTCTGGACAGAAATAGTTGACCTTTTCTACAGTTTAAAATCAAAAGTGAGTATCTGAGTGCCGAGTGAGAACAATTTTAATGAAATGCAATTAGTTAATTGTTTTTCCCCAATCTTTTACCTTTCCAAAGTTCCCTAAAGTGTACCCTACATTCTAACGTTCACATAAGTGAAGATCCTAATATAGTAACTGAAAATTATGGGGTAGCTTGTAATCCCATTTCCATTCTTCTGAATTTTTTCCGTTTCACACCTTTGTATGCTGTTGAATGGGGACTTAGAAGAAAATGAAAATCTCATAATACTTTTTCTACCCCTCTGCAGTTTTTCCTTAGGGCCTGCCTCTGCCCCTGCCATTTTCAGGGTGCAGTAATTTGGGGAAGCGAGTGAGTACTGCCTGTTGGCTTCATGATGTTTGGTGCTTGTGTGCCCACAAGAGCGAGCATGTGTGAGCATGTGTGTGCATGTGTGGTGTGTGCATGCGTAGTGGGTGGGTGCATGTTTGTGTGTGTGTGTGGACACACGTGACGCAGGGCTGCTGCAGAACACAGGCTGAGAAGTGGTGGACCAGTTGGAGTGAAGGCCGTCTCTAAATTGTTTAACATAAAGGTCAGGGAGCACCCTCAGGTTCCTTTCACAGTAAGGCCCAGCAGTTCTGATTTGCCGAGTCTGACCCCACCCAGGGGGTGAGTAGCTGGGACAGACGCTCCAGCTCCAGTGTGGGACGGCGGCGTCCTCACCTTGTTGATGATGTGAATCACGCCATTGGTGGCTGCAATGTCGCCGTCGATGATAGTCGCACCTCCGATGGTGACATTCTGCAAAGGCACACGGCGGCGGGCAGGTGGGCCTGAGAGCCACTTGAGGGGGCCACCTCAGGCTGCCGTCTGTGACCAGCATGCCCTTCATGCTCTTGGGCATGGATCACATTAAGAGATACCTTTAAACTGTGACTCATTAGACACCACACATACACACACACACACACACACACACACAACCGCATTTCCCCCTACTACAAGGTGTGAGCAAGATATACATGTTTACATTAAAACTTTATTACAATAAAGGACACTTCACTATGACTGTCCTCAAAACCCTGCCCCTCACTTTGAATACTTCCTGCCACTTTCTGAGGCAGTTCTCAAAATTATCATTGTGTCCTGCAAACATGGACTCATAGAGAAATAGTTTCAAGCTCAGAAACTCCATGTGTATTCTGCTTCTGAAACGAATCACCCAGTGAGCTGCGCGGATCAGGGTACAGCTGCGTGGATCCCTGCCCCGTGGGAGGTGGGAGGATTTCAGAGCAGTGGCTCTCAAGCAGCTCTGACCATGACCCCTGAGTCCCCACAGTGACAGCTCTGACTTTCTGGCAGAGCCTTGATTCTTGTCCTGGGCGATTCCTGGAAAGAGCTCTGGGACGCGGGCACCCATAGGCGGGCAGCCACTGCCTCATGGAATTCAGATTCACTCTGGAGGCGCCAGGCCGAGAGCTCTCTCCTGGGGACTCGGCGCTCTCCCGGTTCTTGCTCAGCTCTGCCTGTGCATAGCAGGTTCTCAGTACAGGCTGTGCGTCCACTCTGAGTTCCTGTGTAGTTTTAGTTATCTACGGTGACTCCGTTAGAAGACTCTAGTAGCCAGTCCTTAGTAACTGAACCACAATAAACGTCATGGAATGCACAGCCTTCACTCTTTCCCAGCCAGTCTGTGCCTTCCAGGAGGCGGGAATATGACCACATTTTATAGGGTGAGTGCTACACACTCGTGTGTGTGTGTGTGTGTGTGTGTGTGTGTGTATCAATATACATTGATAATTGCTGCATCTAGGTGATGCTCATGTGGAGGTTTTACTTTGTTTTTCACATTTATTTGGAATTTCCATACCACAAAAATTTAAAAATACTGTAAGAATGAAGATGCCCTGAGTCAATGAGACCAAAGACAGGGCTCTCTTACCCCGTCTGCCTTCTGCAGGCAAAGGAAGCTGCCCTGCAGAGAGGTGGCCAGCATGTGAGAAGACGGCAGGCTGTGCAGATCTGTCACACTGTAGGTCCCTAGGAGTATATGGTATCTAAACAACAGAGATTCACAATGAAATGTCAGTGTGAGAGGTGCTATCAGCGAGGGGTTAGGATACCAGGTGCCAGAGTCAGGCTACTGTAGCGAATGTTCAAATCCCCTCTGCAGCTATGGCTTGAGTTAGTTACTTAACCATCCCACGCCTCAGTTTCCACATCTATAAAATGGAGACAGTCATAGCTCCTATCTCTTAGGGTTGCTGGGTTAACTGAAAGTTGCATGCAAAGCTTGGGGTGGAGTTAGCTGTCAGGATTGCCGGTGGCTGCCGTCTCAGGGGAGAGAAGTGAAGGAGCCTGGGACATGCCCAGCCGCATGGATTTGAGGGACATGAGCTTCCTTCCTTGGACATCTAGGGTATGTCTGTACCGAGCTCAGTCGAACATCATGAAGACTGGAATACACAAGGCTTACTTTATTAGGACTGGGATAGTGCTCCGTGACAACCAGAAGTTCTTTGCGTCTTGGTCCATGTCCTCAACAGCTTGCTGGGACGGCACCAGGATGGTGAAGTTTGAGGAGGTAGACAGCATGGTTTGCAGAGAAGCCTTCTGAATCACAGGAGAGCAAAATGACCTGACTACTGTTGGGGGAGGAGGGGCAACAGGACCGGATTCTGTGCTTGCCAGAGGTGACAAGTGAGATTCCAGGGGTGCCATCCGCCCCAGCTGCTGGCTAACGCCTTGGATTCTTTCGTGAGACTTATTCTTTTTATTAAAAAGTGAGTCTCGCCAGGGTGCATGCTGATAATCTCAGCACTCTAGGAGGCGGAGGCAGGAGGATCTTGGGTTCAAGCCCAGGCTGGGCATCGTAGCAACTTAGTGAAACCCTGTCTCAAAATTAAAAATAGAAAAGGGCTGTGACGTAGCTCAGTGTGAAGGTCCCGGGTTTGATCTCCAGCACCATGAAAACAATGAGCCTTGTCAGATTAGGTCACTTTGAGTCATTTGAAGCCCTTTATACTTCAGTCTTCATGAAGAGCCAGAGAAATAGCCTTCACAGAGTTGTGTATGTGAAATAAACCCTGGTTTGCAGCATTTGCTGATTTCATGCTGCAACCATTGAAAGTGGGTGGGGGGTGCACAATCGCTGGGGACGGAAGAGAAAGGCCCTGCACGAGCCCATGCCTGGGGGTGAGACCTTGCCTGATGAGCGATCTGGGTGGAAATCAGACCCCTCTCCTGCCTGTAAGGGGTGGGGCGCCCTAGAGTGCCTTGCGGAAGTGACCAGGAGCTGTCCCCACATGGGTGCTGATAAGCAGGCCCTATTTTGATGATGCCTTCCTCTAAACAGGGACACACCCTTTGCCACATTGTTCGGCTCTTTGATTTGGGTGTAGTAGAGGGGAATGGAGAGCCTGCTGGGCTCTGGGTAGGGTGGGCTTTGGGTCCTTGACTATGATACTTTCGAGGGCTGGAGGAGCTCCTCTGGGTACGCCAAGCCAAGGGCTAAGCACCTACAAAGTATCCCTGAGTGCTGCGACAAAGCCAGCTGCACCCTGATGTGTTACATCAGGAATTGTGTTTACTTTTTAAAAAGACCTGTGGGTGGGTGGAACTATGCATATCTGTTTGCCTTGGCTGCAGATCAGTGTCACCTGGGGGACTTTGAGAGACCCTGACACCCAGGGCAGACTCGGTCTCTGGAGTGGGTCAGGCAAGAGCAAGGAACGTGTTCCCTGGGGTTCCCAAGCACAGCCAGGGCCCAGGGCCCCCGCTCAGCAAGCCCCTCCCTCCTCTCTGCGGGCACCTTGTGGTCTTTTACAGACATCCCGCATCCAAAGTTAGGCAGGCACCAAGCCTCATTTCCAACGAGGTACTCACATGGACCCAGCTGGTAAAGGTAACTGCTTCGAAGAGAAATAACAGCTCCTTGTTCGTTCCGTGCCACGGCAGGAGGGAGAGAGAAAGAAGACAGGAGAGAAAAAGGACAATGAGAAGCAGATCACACTCGCCTTCCTGGGCGGGGCTGGGCTCGGGAATGTGGAGTCCAGGGAGCTGGATTTCCATGTCCCGGGAGCTGTGCATTTCTCTCGCTCTTAGGGGGCTCCATGACCCTCTTTATTGAGGTAAAGAATGAATTGCAGAAACTTCATGTGAAGCAACAACCTGAAGTTCTTTCAAGAGCGAGTCTGATTGTAAGAGCATGGCCAGCCAGACCCTAAGTGGTGTGTGTTGTGTGTGTGTGTGTGTGTGTGTGTGTGTGTGTGTGTGTGAAGAGCTTAGCACATAACTCACTTCCCGAGCACAGGGGGACCAGTGGCTTGGAGCACAGAATAAGGCCACCTGGATCTTGATCCCAGCACGAGCACTCTAGCTCCTTAGGGAAGTTACTCGATGGAGCTTAATTTCTCTCCTCTATAAAGTGGGGATGGGGAAGGCTCCAAGTCACAGGGCTGAGGAGAACTAGAGGAGTTAATGTTTTTAGAGGTTCGAGCAGAGGCTGGCATGCAGAGGACCCCCAGGAGGCTTTAGCCCCTTATTTTAAACGGACTTAGTGTGAACTTGTTAGTGAAGGAGCCTATTTAAGAAGCCACCACTGTGGGAGCTGGGAGGGAGAGAGGAGACGACGGTGTGTGAGGGAGAGAGCGGCCTCTGCGGTTCTAGAACTTGTGGGCGGTTTGGGAGACTTACAGCCTCGAAGAGAATCAACAGTGCCAGTAATCAGTTACATCTGAAGGTGTCACAGGGTTTTAAAAAGCTCTAGAGTTTGTGTTAGAAAGACAGGGTTTAATTCCTGGGTGGGCTATTTCCTAGCTGTGTGACCTGGGGCAAATCACTTAGTCTCTCTGAGACTCAGTGTCTCATGTGATTACTGAACACGACGAGGTTTTCCTGCAGGGAGTATGACAAGCCAGTGCGTTCATGTATGCGAAAACATTAAAAGAAACTATTAATTATCACCCAAGCGGCGGTAACAATTCCATGCAAATTTATGTAAAGACAACATGTCTCAGAGCCGTTTCAATTTCTTTTTTAAACGCAGTTGAGATTATTAAATGAGTTAGTAGATAGAAGTTAAAAAGTAAGTCAGTAATCAGGCACAGTGGCGCATGCTTGTAATCCCAGCTCCTTGGGAGGGTGAGGCAGGAAGATCACAAGTTTGAGGACAGCTTGGGCAACTTGGTCTTGTCTCAAAATCAAGAATAAAGCGGAGTGGGAATTTAGTTAGTGTGATGCCCTGGATTTGATCTCTAGTATGGAAAAAGAAAAGAAAAATGTTAACTGGTAAGTAAACAAACAAGTAGAAGAGCAGAGGTGCTGGAGTGATTCCTTCAAGGGGCGTTCTGAGGGTGTGCAGGCCCCGGGTTGGGGCTGAACTGAGCACAAAGCCAGGGCTTGGCCACGGCCAGGGCAGATGTGGGAGTCCGCATTGTGTGGTGTGGGTCAGGAGATGGCTCTCTGGCCTGCGATGGTGACTGGGAGAATTCATGGGACCAGGCGTGGACCAGCCTCAAATAGCAGGGGACGCCTGCCTGTGCTCTGCCACTGTCTTGTGGACGGCCCCGAAGGGTGGGAGGCAGCGAGTCCCTGGGGACTGATAGACTAACAGTTTTGGCAGGGAGCTGGAGTAGGGACCAGCTACTGTGAGTGGGGCAAAAAGTAAGTGGTGGGCAAATGTTTCAGTTTAGTCACTCATCTTGACAAATATTCTCTCTCTCTGTCTCTCTCTTCCTTTGAGACAGGGTCTTGCTATGTCGCCCAGGCTGGCCTCAAACTTGCAGTGATTCTCCCGCCTCAGCCTTCTGAGTGCTGGGATTACAGATGTGCACCACCACAATCAAATATTTGACAATATTTCTAAGCAGTGGGAGTGACACAGGAAACAAGATAAAGATCTTCCACTGGAGTTTAGAGCCCGGTGCTGGGGGAGACAGACAAACGTCAGGACGTGTCGGTTTGGTGCGAGCCCTACTCGATGGACAGAACGCCCCGAACCAGGCAGGAAGTGGGCTCCACGCTTAGCTGCTGACCTTGTGGGAGTCAGCTTAGCCTCTCAGCTTCCTCACCTGTACAATGGGCATCATAACAGCATCAACTCCAGAGGGCGGTTTGGTTTATATCTAGAAGGGGCTATGCTTTACGTCTAGATGCCCCCGCAAACCTCATGTGCGCACAGGTGGGGCTTGGGAAGGTCCGTTGTGGTAGGGGGCTCCTAGCTGACTTGCTGTAGGAGGTGGGGTCTGGTCAGAAGGTGCGGTTTATCTCCTTTCTGTGTTCTCCGTGCTTCCTGTCTGCCCTGGCATGAGCAGCTTCTCCTCCGCCATGCTGTCCTGCCCTGGAGCCAGCTGACCATGCATGGAAAAGTGAACCAATATGAAGCGCTCCTCCTTGAAGCTGTGGGTGTCGAGTGCTGTGTCTCAGCAGAGATGAAAGTGATGATGACACGGGGCTTCATGAGAGGCTGGTGGGTGTGAGGGACTCAGGACGATGCCTCGTGCACTGGAGGTGTCTGTATCCATGTGCAGGTACACACACACACACACACACACACACACACACACACACGCATGCACGCACTCCCAACAGAGGTAAGCCTGGGGTGCTCTTCGCACCCATGGGAGGCACCCCACCCGCCAGGAGAGGCCAGTAACCCAGCAGGGGCCGCTCAGCTCTCTTTTGGGAAGACTGGGAGGACGGATTAGCAAGAAAGAGTAGTCAGGACCGCTTGGTGGACGGGGTGGGGGGGTGCCACACGGAAGTCAGCTCCCTGCCTCCCGGGACGCATGGGAGACCGAAGATGAGGCGTGGCATCTGTGCGAAGCCTGTGACATCTCTCGCTGCAGGCCTCTACCTGAGGCTGTGCTCCCCGGGGTTCTGTCTTCCTGATTCTGCCCAAGATCCTCGCGGGTGACTTACAATGGCCGCGCTGCCGTAGCACAGGATGCCGTCCCCTTTGTAGCCATACAGGCAGACACAGTCCCACACGCCAGAGGCCACAGCTTGGCAGGTCGCCTAAGGAAACCAAGACGAAGGGGCCGGTTTGTTTCCCCAGTGACAGTTGCGCTGGCAAGACCCCGGCTCCATGTGAGGTGGGCACTGCAAACCAAAGGTGGTGGAAGAGACCCACAGACAGTGGTGGCGAACCCATGGCACGTGTGCCCAGCGGTCTGTTTGCTATCACTGAAAACTCAGAGAGGTTCGCCGTCACTGCTGCAGACCCCTGAGGGTCACAGGAGCAGCTTGTGCTGAAGTTCTTATTTAATCACAAGCCAGGTCTTTTCATCCCTGCCAGATGTAACAGACGACAAGTGCAAAACACACAGTTCAATTTGAATTTCAGACAAATGATGAATAAGTGTCCGTAGAAGCTTGTCTCATTCAGGCAATATTTGGGGCATACTTCTGCTGAAAATACATTCCTAATTGTTTTTGTTTGTTTGTTTGTTTTTCTTTTTTGGTACTGGGAATTGAACTCAGGACCTTGCACTTGCCAGGCGGGCGCCTGTACCACTGAGCTATATCCTCAGCCTTGAAAATATATCCCTTAAGTATCTGAAATTCAAATGTAACTGAGTGTCCTCTATTTTATCCACTCAGTGTTGGCTCTTTGTGCTCTGAGATGAACTGGACATTTCAATAGCTCTCATCCTGCTTACAGGCGCTCTTTGGGGGCGACAGGGAGTCTAGACCCAGACAAGAACAGGCCTAACCTTTTCCCCTCAGAGCCTTCCTTTGCCATGTCCAGTAACTCACCAGTGGGTGACATTTATCGAATTCATCCAAGCAGGCAATGGTGGGTTCGCAGTCAATCCCATTTCCTCGAAATCCTTTCTGACACTCGCATTCGTTCTGTAATTGCAAGAACACAGTTGAAGGGGTGGGTGAACGCCAGAGCTGTCCACATCTCACCCTTCCGCGATACTGAAAAATAAATGAGGGCAACCGTGGCTGCTGGCCTCCCAGGGAACGGTGGCAACATCTTTTGTTTGTTCCACGTCGGATCCCAGAGCCGTTAGTCTGTGCACCCTGTATGACGTCTCCCTAGGGGACGGCCCTCGGTGCTTTCCTTTGGGGTTCTTAGCCCTGGAAGTGATTGGGGAGATAGTCCTGGGAAGAACTCGGACCTCACCTTGGAGAGCTTGGTCCCATGCCTATGAGAGAAGGGTGAGGCGAGCCCTGGGGTGTCCACTTGGTGGAGATCGTGCACGAGGCTGTCGCTAGCATGAGAGGCACCTTGTTCAGTTTAGAAAAGGCTTCCTTTCATCAGGTGGATGGAGAAGGCATTGCTTCTGCGTGGGCAATCCACGGGCACACGCTCGGTGGGTGGACAGCACCTTCACACCACTACCCTGGCGTGAGGGTTTAATACCATGCCAAAGGTGCATGCTTTGGGGTGTAGGGCACCCCAGTTTCAGCCCCCATAGCCCTCAGGAGGAACCAGAGCTAGTGACGCTTGCACTCAGAACTCTGGGCCCCGGAACTGTGACACAATGCTTTTCATTGTCTCACGCAGAACCTCACCCCAGTGTGAGGGGTCTTTGGTCCCCTGACATACTTAGGAAGTATGCGGGCACTACAACATTTGTTTTCTTCTTTCAAAAGCAATCAAACAACTCAAGTGCCGCAACGACAAAGGCAATCATTTACTGAGCGCTGGGCGAGATGTGAGACCGTGGGGAGATCACCCGTGCTTAGGGCTCCTGGGTGACATCTTACAGCTCCGTGGGCCACGAGCAGGCTGAGACACCAGAAGCAGGAGGATGAAAGCAGCCTCTGCATCCTGGGGAGCGACCAGACCACTGACGAGGCTCGCTCCACCCGGGGTTCACAGCATTTATCTCTGTTTCGTGTTCGTTGCTTTGCACAGACCGTTTCTCCAGAGCTGGCTGCGGGCCCAGCCCCGGTGGCCTTTGGTCCCCACCCCCGAGCCCCGTGGCTTTTGCTGGGTGTTGGATCAATGAGGGAGGGAAGGAGTGAATCGTTAACACCTGTTTCATTTTATGTACGCAGCGTCTGTCCCGTCTCCTAGACGGTGCACCTGCCTGTGGCTTTAGGGATGCCCTCCCAGCTCCCTTGGTCCAGTTAATAAACTCCTTTTCTGATTCCTCCAGCCCAGTGTGGTACACAGCACGCTGGCCAGAGCTGTCAATCACGGTGGGCCAGGGCAGGTCCACCTCACACAGTGCCCAGTGGGGTGGGAAAAATACATCCTCAAGGAGCAGAAGAAAGTGGAGATTTAAAAAGAAAAGTTCAGACTCAGAACACACCAGTGAGAAATTGCATCAAGACCCAGAAGAGAAGGGGTGATCTCCCACCCTGGGTCCTGTCTTCCACGTCTTCTGTCCTTGTGGCCTCTTGGAACTTGTCCCACCTCTGGAGGGATAGACTCGGAGGGTGGGTGGGGAGTGGGGCCCCGTCAGTCCCCTTCTTTCCATGGCTATGGTCCCAGTGCATTTTGTATCAGTCACCCTGTCTGTCCTGGTCCCCACTAAATGAAGGTACATGATAGTGACAGTGAGCTACAGATCGCTACGGAAGTCTAAAGTGGGGTCCAAAGTGGGGTCCAGTTAGACTGGGGCGGGGCTGGGGTCAGACTCCTGGACGCAAATCCCACAATACAGTTTCTTTACCATGTGATATGAGCAAATTACTCAGCCCCTCAGTGCCTCAGTTTCCTCTTCTACGCGATGGGGTGATATTGATACTGATGTCATTGGTTTGCTATAGCAATTAATCCATCGCCCCCACTACAAAGGATAGGAAAAGCTGCAGCAACGTCTAGTCAGTGTAAATCTGTAGCTGGGGACAGAGTCACGGCTGGCTCTTCACTTCCCACCTCGTGCAGCCTACCTGGCCCGGGCCCACGTACAGACAGGTGGCGTCCCTGTGGCAGCCGCCCTGGCTCGGCTGCAGGCAGGGGTTGATCTCCGCGCAGTCCCTGCCGGAGCCTGTCCAGCCGGGCTGGCACACGCAGGTGTGTGTCCCGGGGCCGGTTTTGATGCATTCGGCCTACGGGAGGAGACAGAAAGGGCCAGATCTCTGAACCTGTGGTCCAGCCACAGGATTCTGGGAGTTGGAAAGGAGCCACGGGTACATTCCAAAAGTGCGCATGTGCAGAGTGCAGTGGGCGGGGTGGACAGGGTGGGCTGGCATATCTGCAACAATGTCAGTGAAAAAAATTCAGCGGTGCAGAGGGTGAAACTGCGCGGTGCTGGCTGCCACTGCTCCCGCCGCTGTGCCGTGGCCTAAGCCGGGGACTGTTCTAATTGCTTTGCAGACGTAAACAGCCAAGGAAGGCACCGTTGTCATCTCACCGCAGGGGTAGGCAGGTGCTGCCCCAAAGAGGCAGGAGCCCAGGTTTCTCTGTGACCCTGGGATCGAGCTCCTCAGCACTGTCCTAATACCCAGGAGGTCGAAGGACAGGCTGGGAGGAGGAGATGACGTGACAAGTCACTGAGGCAGCCCTGTCTGGGGTGGGCGAAGCTAGGCCCTTGAGTCCAGATTCCCTCTCCAGAAACCCCAGGAGTGACTGAAGCAGTTCCAGCCAGGAGTGGCGGGGGCGGGTGGGGAGAGGCCAGATTCACCCCCCAGCCCTCGGGCAGCGGGTGGACGGGGTGCCGTGCACAGCAGGAGAGGAAGCAGGGAAGCCCGCTGTTGCACCATGGGTAAGGAGCGCAGGCGACTCGGGCACGGGGCAGTGGCGATGTTGGAAACATATATGTGAGAACGGTGTGGCTTCGGGCTCTACAGCTAACTGCGGCAGGCCCCAGGGCCACTAACCCAGGGCCGCTAACTCAGCTTCCTGAGCCTCAGTCTCCTAACCAGTAGAATGGGAACAGCAGCATCAACTTCAGTGGTGCAAGGAGCAAATGCGACCAGGTGCACCCCTGGGAGCTGTGAAGTCTGAATCAAGAGTTATTAGCCCTGATCTCGATATCAGAGTCTCAGGTTGTGCATTTTGAAGATGCAGAGCCCTTGGTGCTGGCCTGGAATTCTGGGGTGGGGGTGCACGGCGGCTGTCTGTAAAATTGGAAGTTCAAACACAAGAGCGACCACACGTCGGCTTTTGGAATTTCCTCCCTCGGGACTTCCGAAAAACCCCAAGCAGCTTGGAGGTAGAGACGGACACTCACGTTCTGGCTGCAGCCTCCCCGGTCTGGCTCTGCGCAAGGGTTCTTCTCGAAACACTCGAGGCCGTTGCCTTCGTAGCCATCCTTGCAGACGCAGAAGCTGAAGGGAAGGCTGAGTGACTTAGAGTGGTGTGGGCCCGTCCTGATCACAAACTTTTCTGTCTGGTTCACCGAGGGGAGCCTTAATTCCTTGAGACGCTCTGCTATGGGCCTATAAACCGTGGAAACATTGTCTCTGGCCCGACGTAGCCTGCAGTATGGCGCGGGAGATAGACCAAAATAAGTTAGGGCAAAAGAGAAAAAGAAAGGGACAGAGTTGCAGACACCCTCCGTGACCCGTGATGGCTGGCACAGCCACCACCTTTTGAACCAGGTCTTCCCAGACCAGAGTGTTTCCTAAGGCGTCGCCACCCTCCAGCTCCCGGATAGTTCTTCGACAGTACTCAGCGGGGTTGGCCCCTTGTCCGTGAAAGGCTGGACTTCGCTCCACTGCCTTTAACAGAGGAGCCTGAGGAAGGACAGGTGGTTCAGTGTGGGCGAGTGGGTAGAAATAACTATGTGTGCCCTAATGGGACGTGTATGGTGTGCTAGCCCCGGTGCTGGGTGCTTTTGAACTGGGTTCTTCTCATGTCCAGCATGGCCCCTGTTGGGCAGGTACGGTCAGCATTAACAAGCCAGGTGAGGCTCACATAGGTCGAGTAACTCGCCCAGGATCACACAGCAGCTAAGTTTCAAAGCAGGGAGTGATACGGTTTGAGTCCAGCTTGGTCTGACAGGCCTCCACTTACAGAGAGCATTTAGAGCCAGGGTGGCTCCATCCCCAGGTGGCACGATGGCGGTGACCTTATCTGCATGACCTACCTGATTGTGTGAGGTTCTAATTCGCAGGTGGCGTGGACGTGACAGAAATGCGCAAGGAGTCCACAGTCCTGGAACTTGCGGTTACAGAATTTCCCCCATGCGCTGCCCTGGCAAGTGCCAGCCAGGCAGGCCCCATTGCTGTCCACCCTGTTGTCGCAGGTCCCCAGAAGGCACGGGCACTCTGAAAGAGGAGGAGCGTGCTCAGGGCTGGGCCCAGCACCCCGAGGACCGGACCCCTCCTTTCACCCCTGTCCAGGCTGAGCTTGGAGGAATCCATGGAGACTCCGGCTGGCACCTCCTGGGGCTCCGGCACATCGCAGAGGCCGGGACAGCTCCAGGACAAATCCCCTGGAGAGTGGGTGGCCCCACCCTGGGAGAACTTGGTGCCATGGTATTTTGTAAGAGGTGTGCTTGAAAAACATGGTAAATGCCTACATTTAAAAAATTTATTTATTTAAAAATAAAACCCACTTTATCAACAAGTGAAACAGCAGAAGGGACATGGATGTTGTTTGACAGCAAGAGCAAACATGAGTACAGAAGGAAAAGCTGTTCAGAAAGGTGCGGAGTGGGCGAATCTACACCAGCGCCCCCGGGAGGGTGCGGGCTGCATTTGCCACCTGAGAAATGCTCACATCTAAGTGCAGGCGATTTTTTTTTTTTTTTGTCTTTTTGAGACAGGGTCTCGCTATGCAGTTCAGGCTGGGCTTGAACTCACTTTGTAGCCCAGGGTGGTCTCCAACTTGCAATGATCCGCCTGCCTCAGCCTCTCGAGTGCTGGGATTACAGGCGTGCGCCACCATGCCCGGCCGAAGTGCTGGCGATTTGGAAGAGCAGCTTCTTCCTCCTGTCCTCCCTGAGCTGGAGCAGGCGGCAGCTCTCTTCCTGTTGCCATGGAGAGAGAATGTGGCATTTCTCTTGCAGCTCTTCAGGCTGGCAGGACCCGGCTGCAGAGTGTTGACCGTAGGGACTTGAACGTGGGGCTCACCTTGTGGATTGCCTCTGTGGCTGCTGGGGGGCTGGGGACCGAAGAAGGTGTGAGTTCGATTTCTCTGCTGATTGGAGGTAAGGAAGAAACGAGGAGCTTTTGGTGTGGAGGAGCTGCGGGTCCATTACCCGGCAGGCAATCCGGCCTATTGATCGCGCGTTCATTTATGTTAATTGCTGGTAATACAGTGGACATTGTTGGTCTTGTGGTCTTGTTTTGAGTAGCAGCAGGCAACAGTAGGTGATCTTTCGAAGTGACACAACCTACAAGGTGTCTCCCATTCTGCGAACAGCTTCAGAGAAGTCTTACTAAGTTCTGGGTGAAGTGTAATACCCTTGTGGCTCTTCCCTGAGCTCCTACCGATCCTGGCGGTTCCTGTGTGCTGAGCAGCGATCAGCTGGGAAGCTGAGTTCTGTTCCAGAGCATCCTGAAGAATACAGGTCCGCTGTTGATTATTCACCACTCTGTTTTGACTTGGTCCTTTCTACTTTGTGTCTGTGAACTCAGCCTCAAAGCTCCTGTTCAACCTCAGCGACTCGGTTGGGTTAATCCAGGGTTGACCCAGAGGTGGAGAAATATAAAGTCATGATTCTTCAGTTAGTACCATTAGGGCTTTGCCATTTGGAACAGAACGATGGCGTCTGCAGCTATTTTCTGGGTAATAGCAGCTGATGTTCCTTGTTCTTTAGCAGAAAATCCTCCAAGATGCCTCCTTTGATTTGCAGGGCTCACATTAGAGTTCTTTCTCCTGAGACCCCGTCCCAGCATGCTCATGGGCCCAAGTTCAGTATTGTGCAAGCCAAGACCTCAGTTTAGACTTTAAGGGACTTTAAGCCTCTGGTTCTCTGACACAACTCTGTCTAGCTGCCGCTTCAGCGGTCCATTCTCTTTCTTCGGTTGCTTGTTCTCTGAAAGAGCAGCCTTCCACCTTGCCGCCAGCCCTAACATATATTCTTTCTTCTTCTTGTGAGATTGACACATAGACTCTCGATATTTTAAAACGTATGCTGCTGTCTTCTTAGCACAGCCATGCCTGAACTCACACTTCTCATCATACTTTGTAGGACAGGTTCAGTCGCAGAAAGTTTTCCATCCCCTGGGCTGCTCACCGCAGGGGCTGGCACCGCTGTCACCATGCGATGAGGTAGCTCTGTGTGTCCTCCAGAGACGGCAAAGACAGGAAGAGTAGAGGGCAGAACTCCAGGACCTGGTCCCCAGGAGGCACGGGTACTCTGAGGGAGGAGGAGGAGGGTGCTCAGGGCTGTGCCTTAGTAGGCTGAGAGAGCAAAACAGTCCGACCTGTAGAGGGTACAGGGTGTATACTGATAACTGGTTGCTGCTCTACCATGGCATAAGTGTTGGTAGCGCCTGAATAATGATGCTTTTTGCTGGGATGCTGGAGTTTGTTTGAGCCTTGGGTGCTGCTGGAAGTAACGGAGGCTTGGGCCGAATTGAAGCTTTTGAACTCATCAACCTTTTTTTTTTTTGAGTCCTTCCAGTCTCAGTTTTGTTTCTAGGACCAGCAGTGGGTGTGTTTTCTGTTAGCGGCTCTTCTGAGAATGGACGGTTACAGCTTTCCCCGTACAAGGAGAGAAGAGACATCTGGAAACTAGAAGACCAATCCAGCTCCTCAGGAACACGCTGAGTTGAAAAACAAGAGTCCACGACTGAGGAGCTGAGACCGCACAACTTGAGGAAGCTGGAGAAGGTGGCTGAGGTTCTGCTTTAATAGCATTAACTGTACAGAACTGATTTTTTATGCTCCACATGTCTGACTCCCAAGGGATCAAATCTGAATCCAAATCAAGATGATCGAAATTACTTCCATAGGTTTCACTGGTTTTATCCAATTGCAGCTCATCCGTGTCTGGGAAATAACCAAGTTGAGCACAGAGTGTAGAATGCCAGTCTTTGCCTGGTCTGTGAGGGTCCGAGGCTAAGCGACTCCATGGTGTGGCAATGCCAGCTGGCTCCCTGAGACACAAGTCCCAGTGCCCTGGAGCTCGGTGACTACTACAGTGAATGCTTAAATTAAAGAAAAATTGTTACAGTAAAAGACACATTGCCATGGATTCCCGTCAAAATCTTCCTCTCCACTCTGAACACATTCATCTCATTATTCTTGTCCTTTTCTGAAGCAGTCCTGGAAATCCTCTTTTGTGTTTTTAGTTCTTCTGTCCTGGCCGCCTCAGTGTCCTGAACTGATTCAAAATATTTCCCTGTCCTGGTCATTCTGACTTTGGGAAAGAGCCAGAAGCCACAGGACGCCAGATCCGGTGAATAAGGCAGGTGAGGACACACCCTGATGTTTGTACGAATTTGCATCCAGCAGCAGCATTCACCCTACTGGGGATCGCACTTCATAAAGACTCTTATGGTGAACACAAAATTGGTGAACACATAAAACGGATGAAAAATTACTGAGTTGTTGGGTGGAGGGAAAATGTCAGTTTGACCCGAGAAGCAGAAACTATGCTTGATTGTTAGTTTAGTCTGAAAACAATGTATGCGTCTAAGAACGTTCTGAACTTTGTAGCACCTGCTTGCTGAAGCCGATAGGTTCCGCTTTCTGCCCTTGCAAAAAATTTCTCACCTGCGTCAACCAGGATGTGGTTTTCAAGCTTAAAAGCTCAAACATTCTTCGGGTCGGGGCTGCTCAGCATCTCCCTGCGTGGAGAACAGACTGACAGCCGCCGGCCTGGCTAATAAAGGCTCTTAAATTCCACTTTGGATTCTGGTCTTGGTTCTTTATTCAGAGTAACCCAACACTCACCAAAGAGGACTTCCGGAGCGGCTTCAGAAGGGGGCAAGGATGGAGGTGCAGGCAGGTTCAGAGTGAGGAGGAGAATTCTAAGGGGGATTTGGGGCAGTTTTTTTTTTGTTTTGTTTTGTTTTTTTACCATAATGAAGTTTGAACAGGTAAACATTCACCCAAGGTGTTGATCCTGCCTTGTATGTATGTGTGTGTGTGGGTGTAGGGTGAGAGGTGGCTTTTGATGTGACAAAAGTGGTAAAGGAACTCAATTTTCAACTGCTTTGTGGTCAGAGAGTCTAGCTAGGCAATTTCTCACCTTCTCCTGAAGACGTCTGGGCATAAACAGAAGTGATTTCTCTCGGTGGCGGAGCCCCTGATGAGCGCCTGTGTTTGTCTGTCACACTCCCATGGCAAGTCAGCGATAGCAAGTGACCGACATCTGGGCCCTAACTTCCTGAGAGGGCACACGCACCACCTCATTAATAGGCGCCAGCACCCGGAAGTCTATACTTTTTTTGGGTACATTTTGGATATACATAATGGTCACATTCATCGTAAGGAATTTGTCCCTGTACATGATATACCTTGCTTCTTCTTTGCATAGTCCCTCTCCCCCTCCTTCAACCCCTCTTCCCCTCCAGTTGGTGCTTTGATACCAACTGGGGCCCAGAGAGGTGAAGCAAATCACCCAGATTACCAGTAAGTTCCCAAACAGGGACTTGAACCAGAGCCCTGAAAGCCCGCTTCTCTTAGTGCCCATGTGTCCACACAGCGGATCATGCTGTCCAGTGGCATTTCGCATCTCTGTTGTCACTTCAAATGTGGGTTTCTTGGTTTGCTTCTGAGTAGAGGCATTTAAAGACGGATGGGAGCTACTCATGAGAGTCAGGCATGAGGGGGTGACAGGAGGAGTGCGGAGACACTCAGAGGAGGGGTGTGGGGGTGTGGGGGCTTGAATGCGATCATAAATGAAGGGTTATGAGCTGTGCCCCAGGGGGACGGGTGGGACAGGGATTAGGTGAGGGCTTGGGGCCAACATCCAGGGCGCAGAAGACAAATACGAGTGAGCGCGGCTGAACAATCTAGGTAACTAGATTGAAGCAAAAAAATAACTTTCATCAAGTTTTAAGTAAGGCAGCTTAATTTGCAAGGAACAAGATCTCTGAGTGAAATTACAGGCAGCCACAGACCTGGGACGGGAGAGACTGGACCCAGAAACCCAGCGGCCAACCCCAGCCTCTGCACCCTGCTGGGGGTCCCACAACACCAACGTGGTTGGCTGTGGAGTAAATGCTTGTTTTGTGTCCCAGAAATCTTAGCTAGAGAAAAGACCAATAGAATAGGATTCAGCAGCCCTGACCCTGCTGTGCTCTGGGTTCCTGTCCATCTGGAGTGGATTTGGGAAGATTGTATAAGGGAAGAGATGAGAAGGGTATGTTTTCTAACAGGTATATGGCACAGTAGGGCTAGGTCTAAAAGCCCCAAGTTATAGACCTTAACCCTATCAATAGTCTGTGAAGTGTTCCTGGGTTCTGCATGTGTAGATTCAACAAGTTTTAGATAAAGTAATACTTTTTAAAAATTGCGTTCATCCTGAACATGCATAGACTTTTTTCTTGTCATTATTGCCTAAGGAACAGTATAACAATTCACACAGCACTTATATTGTATTAAATATACGTAACCCAGAGGGCATCCAAAGTATCTGGGAGCTGCGTGCGGCATTTATACAAATACTAGCATTTCAGGTGAGGAACCTGAACACCTGGTTTTGGTATCCACAGGGCAGGGTGGGGGCTATCCTGGAACCCACTCCCCAAGGACGCCAGAGGACAGCTGTACCAATATTATCTTCATTTTATAGATGGAGAAATTGAGAGATTTATTTTCAAATGCTACCATCAATAAGTTGTAGAGTGAGAATTTAACTTTTGGCTGGTCAACAAGCTCTTACCTATTAATTTTACTTTATCAGTAAGTTCTAATTGTTGCTTAAATAAATATGTATAAATATATTGTATATATTATATATATAATATACATGTATGTAACTGTAAAGAACATATATTTTCTAAGATTGTATAGCTGCATATTTCAATGCCTATTCAGGGGCTGGGGATTTAGCTCAGTGGCACAGTGCCTGCCTGGCAAGCGTGAGTTTGTGAGTTCAATTCCTGGTACCGGAAAAAAACAAAAACAAAAAAAACCAAAGCAAAATAAAAAATCAATGCCTACTCAGTGTGGAATTTTCCACATATCTACTAGTATTTTGATGTTTATGTCACCACACTTAAAATAGCAGCAACCACAATGAAAGATGATAAGAATCAAGTATATACTATGTTCTAGGCACTGTTCTAAAGGACTAGCTTTTCCTTTGTGACTTGCACTCAATCTTACAAGGTAGTTACCAGTCTTACCAACTCCTTTTTACAGATGAAGAAACTGAGGTATAGAGAATGTGGTAACTTGCCTGTATCCACATCCTCAAGTGGAGGTGCTGATAGAAGGAGACTGCTTGGAAGGTAGGGAGCAAGTCTGTGTCTTGATGCAGTCTCAGTACCACTTGAGGGGTGCAGAGAAACCTTAAAGCAGTGGTTTTCAAAGTGTGCTTCCCTGGACCAGCTGTGTCAGACCAGCATACCCTGGGAACTTGTTAGAAATGTAAATTCTCAGCCTCATGGTAGGCATTTTGTGTCAGAAGCTACAGGTGGGACCCAGTTATCTGATACTTGAGAAATACCCTGGGATGATGACACAATACAAGCAAAAATCACAGGACGCCACGCCTGTACCAGGATCCTGTTCCATGTGGTAAGGATCCAGGAAGTGCTACTTACTTTTGTCACACTGAGGTCCATATTTATTAGGGTCAGAGCAGAACTGACATCTGGAGCCACTGAAGCCATCCTTGCAAGTACACGTCCCATTGCCATGGACTCCGTCTGCACACTGGAGAAAGGCAGACCCCATGGGCCGTTACAAAGGGCGTAGGTGCTGGTGAAGGACTCACAGACACTTTCATTTCACGCCTGACTTTGGGCTCAGATTCAATCCCACTTGAAACAATCTTTGGATTCCTTGTGGGAGTGTCTTAGTATCAGGTAGGTGATGAGCATGGCTATCCTGACTCAGGATTTAGAACTTTAAGGGACGCCATTCGAGGGAGACCACGATGCTGAACTAAAACCTTCACATAACATTCTAGGCACAGCAGAGATGCGTCAGAGTGCCTGGCTCCAGCCACCTCTGTACTCTCACTTGCTCTGCTCTGCGACTCTAAACTGCATATTTTCCTCTCTCCAATGGGAAACATATTTCTCTCCCATCTGCCCAGCACTGACTGGGTTTGTGTTTATTTCCTGCATCAGAGTTGGGCACGGGCTGCTGTCTCAATTACTCGGCCACAGCCATTGGTACCGGCCTCTCACTTCTGTGTCTTCTATGTAAAGACCACACTCTTGTTTGTAGTTTTTCTTTCCCCTCACAGGAGCCATATTTTAGACATGGGTCTATAAAATGTTCTGCCTTACAATTTCTCGGTAGGATTCATGGCTACTTTCACTTTCTGTTGTTTACCTGTGGCCTCCAAGTTAGATGAGGTAATTTTGGCCTTTATGTCTTTCTAAGTGCAAGATTCTAAGATAATAATAATACTGCAGATTGGCAGTGTTATTATTAACAGTGTCATAGAACCCTGGGCCCTGGTACCTTCTGCAGGCGGGAAGTGAGGTGTAGTGGGCCTGCTGAGCTGCCGGAGGTCCTGCAGTGGTGACAGGAGAGCCCAGAACTGAGGCCCTCTCCCTCCACCAAACAAGATTCCTGCTGATGTGGACACCTGCTGTGCTTGCAGTAACAGATCTATTTCTTTTACTTCATGTGAGTAGTGGCTACCGTCATGTCACCTTTGGGTTTTGCAGTTTTAAAAATTATTGTTCCACTTGTGCTCAGAAGGGTCAACCTTGGCATTCAGGAAACTGTGCATTCTCACGCAAGTGACTGTCCTCTCACCTGTCCGTTTCCTGAGCATGGATTCCGGAAGCCTCCAGGACACTGGTTGCAATAGGGCCCGAAGAAGCCTTTGCAGCATTTTGTTATCTGAGAAGCGACATTACACACGCCCCTTTGAGTCCCCAAGTGGAGCACCCAATCCTCCAAGGGGAAGCACTTTGATTTTCACTGTTACAGTGAACAATACAAGCCCTTCCTCGGGGGAAGTCTTTCCCTTTGGCACGCGGTGGCACAGCTAGTGCTTAGCCTCTGGCCACCACCAATCAAAAAGCACCCCCCGTGGGTGCCCGCCTGGCTTTGGCACTGTGCGCAGGACAGAGGAAGGCCAGAGCTCAGGGAGCTTGTGTGCCCATCAGGGAGGAGTCAATATGGAAATTAAAAGAAGTAATTAAGTCAGTGAGCTCTTTCAGAGAATGGTAAGTACTAGGGAAAAAAGTGCTCTAATGAAGGAGTCGGGACAGCGACAGAAGTGGGGGGGGCGGCCCCTGGAGATCGGGGATGGAGGCGGTGCTGGGTGAATGGGGACCTGGAAAATGCAGGAGCCTTTGAAAACCCAGAAGAACGTTCTGGGAGGGAACGGATTTGCACTTTCTCTGAGGCAGGCAGGTGGGCAAGAGAGGGGCCGATGCAGGCAGAGTGCAGGCGTGCGGGGACCGGTGGGGAGTGTGGGCTCTGTATTAAGAGGGGACCCAGGGACACAGGGAGGGGGTGACCTGGCCAGCGTGAGGGGACTCCACCCCTCCATCCTCGTGCAGGAAGATCTGCAAGCCCCACGGGGTCCTGTGACGGTGCAGCCCCTGGGGCTGGTGAGCTGCCTGCCTTTGGTGGCCCGTAGGAGGGCCCCGGCCACACTCTCCTTGGCCACACTCTCCTTACCCGCACGGTGGCATTGCAGTGTCTGGCACAGCCATTCTTCGTGTTCCCGGTTCTGCTGCTGTAGATGCATTTGTCTGTGAAGATCTCCTGCAAGGGAGGCAAAGAGCAGGAGCTCTGTGGTCTGCGTTCCCAGTCCCTGGCAGTGCCCTGAGGCCAGAGCTCAAGGCCACACGGGTCACTCTTGTGAGGCCTGTGTCCTTGCTGGGAGAACACTGGCTGAAGTTTGCCCACTCCGTGGCATGCATCACAGTGGACATCTCTAAATGATCAAGAAGCACTTTCTGGTTCATCTGGGCACGGGCCAGCTTCGTTTTGCAAACCGCAGCCATCCCCAGCCGCTCCTACGCAGGCATCTCAGCGCCTCTCGCGTGGGAAGATCCACCCAGTGACCCAGTGACACTGGAGATTTTCTCTCAGGAGTAGGGGTAGATTTATTTATTTTTTTCAATTTTAATTATTTTTGTTTGTTTTTTTTCCGGTACCAGGAATCGAACTCATGACCTTTCGCTTGCCAGGCAGGCGCTGTGCTGCTGAGCTAAATCCCCAGCCCGAGTAGGGGTAGATTTAAATGCACCTCTGTTCCTTCACCCTTGGTGCAGGTTAACCTCACCTAGCACTTCTGTGTATTGAGAACTCACCGTGGGTAGGGCACACTGCTTAAGTGAGTTCATCAATCTTCAATTCCATGCACATATTTATTTATTTATTTATTTATTGATTGATTGATTGATTGTTGTGATGTGGGGGAGCAAACTCAGGGCTTCACACAGGCTAGGCAAGTGCCCTACCACTGAGCTACATCTCAGCCTCTCATGAGTTTTTCTTTTTAAATAGATAAGGAAAGACCCAAATGGGCTTAATCATCCCCCGGCCTTCGCAAGAAGCACTGCTAATAAGTGTCAGGTGAGAGACTTAGGCATAAAACCTGCTAAGATCCCGGGTGATCACACTGTCCCTGTCTGTCTCAGCTGCCTAAGCTGGAGATAGAACCACAGTGCAGGCATCCAGTTTTATCATGAGAATTTAGCTCCTGGCTCGAGTTTAGACAAACGTTTCTGTCCAGTTTACTCCTTTCTCTTCAGCTCTAGCTTAAGAAGTGAGCAAAGAGAAGTTTCCAGGCTGTATAGCCCCAAGATATTAGATAGACCAAGGGATCCTGAGGCCAGGAACAGTCGTGTCACACTCACTGTGGGCTCAGTGTCAGCAGGACATTTACTCTGAGACTTCAGCATACAGTTCACACAGGAGCCCTGGAAGGAAAGGCAGCAGCTCAGTGCAGCTGTCCCTGTGGAGGACATGGGATGGCCCTGTCCCCAGACTCACTTCCTACCTGCAGAGAGGGTTCCACTGCCCTCCCAGCCCCCGTGACTCCTCTGCAGAGAAGTGAAGTCAGTGCTGGGCAGAGCTGGGCTTAGGATCAGGACAGAACCTGCTCAGAGTGGCCCCTCTTCTCCTCTTTCTGGACAGAGCCCATGGTCCACAGGCCATAAGGGACCTGCCCTCGAGGGACACTGCAGTGGTCACCAGTGTCAGGGACAAAGTACTTCCATGGGTCACAGACTTGAGGCTGTGCCCTCTAGTTAGCTTAGTAGGAATAGGGCCCAACCATCTGCCAGAGTCTCCTCCATGGCTTCTGTATCCAGGAGGAAGGGAATCCAGTGTGCACCTCCAAATCTCTCTGACCTTCCCTACCCGTGCTGGGCCCCAGCACGCAGACCCCAAAACATGGCCTCTCGCCTCTTGCCAGCTTCCCAGTGGTTTTGGCCAGTGTGGGTCAGAGCAGAATATCAGTGGGTAGTTGGAGAGCAAGGTCAAGAGTCCCTTTCCTGTCCGCTCTGTGCCTTGGCCCTGTCCCGGGGACTCCTGGCGGACGCCCTCTCTTCACTTCACTGAGTTCAGGTAACGCTCTACCTGGCCGGGGGTCTTGGGTTCTGGGTGGTAACGGCTATTGCTTCTCCCTGGGTGCCCTGGCACAGCTTGTGCCCTTAGGCTCACTCACACCTCTGCGGCACCCTCTTCCTCCAGGTCTCTTAGTTGACATCACAGGTACACTGATCATCGACAATTACAGAGATTCTGCTTCCTGCAGGGACCCTGACTAGTAGAATGCTAGTTATTAAACCTCTGCAACCCCACATATATGTCCATAGGCAGCCAGGAGTCCATCCAGGTGAAAACAGAAGATTCTAGAAGGTCCCAGCTGCTTCCATTCTTTGCTGGTCCTAAATGCATACTTTCCAGAGAATCTGTGTGGACTTACAACAGATCCAACCCAAACCATCCTCAACTAGGCAAAAAGGACAGAATGGGCTTTAAATGTAGACAGCATAATAAATGGCAGAGGAATACTCCATTCTGAGGTAGCTCTAGGAAGTTCTTTTCTCTACCTAACCACAACATTTTGGGGTTTCAGCTCAAAACTACATGTTGATTCCGTCCTTTAAGAAGATGAGAAAAAGCTTTGAACCATCTGAATAAGAACAAACCCGTGACCAGGAAAGCATTGGGACCCGGAGGACTTCTTTCTAGGGAGCTGAACAGCAGCTGCCTGGGTGTAGATGCTCTGAAGAACGTGTTGGAGCCCCAGTCACTTCTCCAGCCTGTTCAGAGCCCCACCCTGCTCTAAGCTGATGTACCCACCAGGGCTCATTTCTAAAGAATGAGCCAAACACACATCTCTGCTGGGAACCATTGAGGAAAGGGACCGTTCCTACGTCTCTTAAGAGGAGTGGTCAAAAGGAGATCACACTCCCCAAATGACATCTGAGGGACCCAAGTTACGCTCAATAGACTAAGACATACAGCGTCATTCCTTCAGCTAAGAACTTGCAAATCAAAAAGGCACCACAGTCTTGTGTCAGGAGCTTAGCTAGCTATTTCCAGTCTTCATGAAGATAAAATAAAACCAGGCCATTTCTTCCCCATATCCAGTGCTCATGCTCTAAAGATATCTTTTATTTTTGTCTTTTTGAGACAGGGTCTCGCTATGCAATTCAGACTGGCCTTGAGCTCACTTTGTAGTCCAGGCTGGTCTCGAACTTGCAATGATCCTCCTGCCTCAGGCTCCCGAGTGCTGAGATTACAGGCGTGTGCCACCACGCTGGGGCTCTACTAAAGATATCTTGAGAACAATCACTGATGTGCTATTGAAGTGTCCTGAAAAGAAAGACCTAGACCTATATCATAGTCAGAATGTTAGGGTTGCGGTTTCCAAGGGAACTTACAGATTGCAGGTAGAGCCATTTTGAGACCTAAGGTGCTTTGATTAAAATTGCCCACGCCAAACAAAACAAAACAAAACAAAACTGCTGTGGAACAGAAAAGGCCATTAGAGGATCTAGACGCTCATGGAGAAACAAAGTCTGGTATTTGCAAAGAACTATAGAGGCGGTTGAGCACTGGAACGTCTACCTATCAAGGTGTTTTATTTCGAGTCCTGCTTAGGGCAAGTAAAGCTATGGCCCTGGAGCAGGGTGGTCCAGGAAGAGGTAAGAGACTGATCTTAAATCCCATGGGGAAAAACTGATCTGGCCCCAGAGCCGTGGTGTAATAGGGTCATAGGTAGAATAGCCTCTCTCCGGTAGTCCATGCCCCCCTGAACCTCAGAATGCACCCTTATTGGGAAAGAGGGTCTTTGCAGATAAGTGAGGCTAGGCTGAGGGAGGGTGATCAGGACTCAGGCCCAGGAGGCGCAGGGCCCCACCTCAGGTCCTTGTTCTCTGCGTTTTCCTCCTTTTCTTACCAGTCTCATCTCACTCTTCATTTCGTCGCATCGGTGGGGCAGGATGGGGACAATGGAGGGCGGAATGAGAACGCCAGCCAGCGTGTAAATTTGGCCATTTTTCGCAGTGACCTCAATGTCTTCTATGGTCACATTGTTCGCCAGAATCCGTCCCTGGAAGGAAGCAATAATACCTTTTCCTCTGGGCTGCAGGAGGGGGTGAGCCCCACACAGAGGTGAGTGGGGAGACGTCTCTGAAAGCCCTAATGTGTTGTCCTGAATTTGTCCCCTGCAAGGAGCCTTTGGAAGGGCTTGGCCAGTGGGAGACAGCTGAACCTGTGGAGCGAGCTCCTGAGGACACCAGGCAGGGGTTCCTGAGCTAGGAAAGAGGCGGGCACGTCCCAGCCCTGCGCTGCATTTGCAGGAGAACTGTTGTACCCCTCTGCGGTGAAGTGAAGGTCTGTTCCTTCACACCCCTCTGCTACCCTAGAATGAGCGCTGGGCAGGCTCTTGGGACACGTCGGTGGAGAAGCAGATAGACTCTTGCTCAGCTGTAGTACAGGGAGCAGAAGCGCACAGGCAGGCAGAGACACCTCCTCTCCACTTTCCCAGACCTGCCCCTCCCCGGCAGTATTCATGGCAACTTCATCCTTGTAATGGCTCACGCCAGGACCCCGTGGGGACGCGGTTGGCTTTCTGTCTTCACCACCCATCCAGCTTACTAGCGAATCTTGCTGGGTCTGCCTTCAACATACGCTCACAGTTCAATCACTCCTTGCTGTGGCCCCGCACTGTTCTGTCTGAGCCATAGTCATTCCTTGGTGGACTGTTGTAGTCCTCTCTCTAACTCGTCTCCCAGAATGCAGCCATCTCCCACCATCCCTGCCTGCAGTCCCCTGATAGCTGCCCGTCTCGTGTGGAGTAAGACCCTGCGTCCTTGCCCTAAGTTCTGAGGCCACCACTGTGAGCCGAGCCCTTCCTTCCTTCCCTCCCCGCCCCACCCCCAGCCCTCCCCCCTTCCTCTTGCTCAGTCCTGGTTCTGGCCACACGGCCTGCTGTTCCTCACGCAGCTCAGGCACACTCCTTGCCCCGTGCCCTTGCACTCTCTGTTCCCTCTCGGTCCCCAGATAGTCACGCCCCTGTCCCTCTATTTCCTTCCTGTCCTGGCTTGGGTGTTTCCTTCCTTGTGAGGACTTCTAGGCACTTTATCTAAAACGTCAGTGCCATCCCTACTTTCCATCCCCACCTGCTGTGCTGCTTTTCTCCTTACCCGAATTGTGCTATGTTCCCCTCAGTTCACTGCTTTACTGTCTAGCTTCCTTTTTGCTGGAATGAAAGTTCCGCGCAGTCAGGAACTTTGACCTGTCTGTTTGTTGATCTGTCTTCAGGACCTAGAACAGCGCCTGGCATGCAGGGCTCAAGCACACTTGTGGAGATGAGACCCCCATCACCATCACTAGTGTTGAGTTAAGAGGAGACAATGCTGCTGCTCTACTGTGTGTTACCAGCCCGGAGCATTTGCTGAGGGACACTGTCTTCTTTGGGTTCTGTAAGTGAGTCACCTTCCCTCTGCTCAGGGACTGCACTGGCTCCCTCTTCGGCCAGGAGCTCTGTTCTGCTCTGCTCTGCCAAGCTCTTCCTACTCATCCTCCAAGCATGCTGAAAGTGTCACCACCTCCCCCAGGCCCTGCGGCTGCCGTGTTTCTCAGACTCCTGTTGTCTGGGCTCACAGTTCCCTGAACTTCCTGCAGCTGCCACTGGATGAACTGTAGTCGTGTAATTTACTGACTCCAGAAGGAGGTCTCAAAGCCTGCCTGTGCTGCCGGCATGCAAGTCTGCCTGTTTTGCTGCTTCACCCCGGGATCTGGTGCAGACCGTTGTGCACGCAGCTGCTCAGTGATATTTGCTGACAGCCGTGAGCACTGAGGTGAAAGGTCATAAAGCTGTTCGACAGAGCAGAGCACCCGGAGCACACACACAGCCGTGACCCAGCAGCCCAGCTGCCTAGGAGCTCAGCGGCCCAGTGCCCAGCACCCAGCCCTCACTCACGTTGTCGGTGACGTTGAACTGTATGATCTGGTTGGCCATGGTCCTGGTCTCCAGCTTTGTGATGAGGATGGCCACTTCCAACTGTGAGGACAAAAGCACAGTGGAGACCTCTGGGGAAACACAGGGCATCCTAATTTCTCACGGCCCTGACTGAGTTAAGAAGTGGGAGCTCTGATGTCAGGGTTGCTGCGGCTTGGGAGATTTCTTTGATAACAGACTCATTATTCATGGCCGAGGGCTCGCCCAGAGCCACAGATAAAGAACAAAAGTCACACATCCACCACAGCAAGACCCTGGGATTCCAAACTACAGCCGGGTGTCTTGGAAGCAGGGAAAAGCAGCTGCAGGAAGAGGGGGCCCAACCTGAGTCGACGGGACAATGTGGTATCGGACGAGTTCCAGAAGCTTGGGAGAGCCCTGCAAAGAAACCAGAGACTTCCGTCAGCAAAGAAAACACGATCTCTCTCTCCTGTGGGAGCCCTGCAAATGACTTTGAACCCTTAACCATAGAAATAAATAACTCATAACCTCTCTACTCGGAAATCTGGGATGAGAAAAATCACCTCCCCCTCCAGAGCTCAATTTCTCCAAATCCCTACCCTGGACAGGGGCTGACCTGAAAACAGCATGCACCTTTCCTGTGATCCTTCCCACAGCCCTGCGACGCTGGGACCGTGGCCAGCCTGTTTCACGCGTGATGACACTGACTTTCAAGCGCAGTCTGAGGTCACAGAGCTAACTCAGGTTCAGAGCCTGAGCAGGAGTCTAAGCTCCAGTCGCACGGCTCCGATACCTCCCAGAAGGTCCGGGTTACACTGGATTTGCCCGCCAGCCCTCTATTCAGGATTCTGTGTCACTCGCCCCAGTAATAAACATCTACCTGTCGGGCTGCACAGCAGTGACTTAGGAATACCCAGCCACGGGGGACTGGATTTCCCTTGCACAAAATTCGTTTTTGAGTTTCTTTTACTACAGAAAACTGAAACAGCAATGGAGAGAAAGAGGGTCCTGGAGCCCACAGAAGGAGCCATAGGCAGGATGCGCCATCTCGGGGTTGGGGGTGGCCCTGGAGGGAGCCCGTGGAGTCAGGAGCTGGGGGACCACGCCCTTGGGGAAAAGGCAGTGGCAGCTATGCCCTCCTGCAGACGGCTGCAGGCTCCTTGCTGAGCCCCAAGCTTCCCAGCCCTTGAATTCTGCTACCAGCACAGCCTAGTTGTGCCAGCTTGGGAAGGCAAACAAACCAAGACCCCAGTAATTTCCAGGAGGTCGACATGGCAAGCACCAGGACAGCTAGGCTCACAGAAGGCCCTGTGGAACCTGGTCCCCCACCCGCCCCCTCTGAGTTTGGCCCTGGTCTCTGCCAGGGGACTGGCCCGTGAGTACCGTGGCCACACAGCCTGGCTCGTCTGGTACAACCTCGGCTTGTACCTGTTGCCCTGGCAGCCTATTTCCTCCCCAAAATGAGCCCATACACAAGGTAAATGATACGGCAGCCGCGTCGCTAGGTCAGTGACACTATCAAGGCAGGGCAGGTTGCTATGGGCAGGCCAGCCTCACACCAGTGGCCAGCACTGGAGCTGATCCTTTCTGCAGCCCTCTTGTGGCTGTGTAACCTTGAGCAGGTCAGCCTTTGGGCCTCACCTCCCCTTCCAGCTCCTCCATGGCGCTCAGAAGCGCGGGCCCACGGGCAGGAGTGCTGCTGTCGCAGGCGGCAGTGCTCAGAGGCAGAGGGTGGGATTACGTGGGCTATGCCAAGAAATGTGAGACCAAGCGGCGGGATCCGCTGGGTTTGTTATCACCGCATCCCCGCCAGCACAGCCTGGGTGCATAGTAGGCTCTTTGTACATTTTTGGCCAAGATATTAAAAAAGGGGAGGTGTTCTGGGAAAAGTGCCAAGCTGGACCTCCAATGCCAGCCTTGCTTCTGAGCAAGTCATCCCCGCTCCCAGCCTCGATTCTACTTGCAACATAAAGGGGCCAGCATCTCTGCAGGAAAGAATTTACCAGCAGAATAATCTACTTCCAAGGCCTCCAGAATCGATTTTGGTCCATTGTACAAGAAGGAAGGGAAGAAAAGGAATAAAGGAATCAGATCGCCCCTGCCCCATGTGAGTGGAGCCTTATTTGGCTTGGGGCCACCGCACTGGCCAGCTCAAAGGGACAGGACAAGCGTCCAGGTGCTGTTGGCCCAGAGGCCCTGGTGTTCTGCATTCTTTCCCCTAGGGTGATGCTCACTTCCTCCCTGCAGTTTTAGGTGAAAAAAACAAAAACCCCTAAGTCCTAAGTTGCTAATATGACCTTGAGCTTTGTACATTCACCTCCCTCGGCCCCATTTTCCTTTCGAGGAATCTATGACCTCATTAAGGTGACCCTCTCTTTTTATTTCTGTCTAGCTCAGTGATGAAGCCATCAGCTAGGGCTTGGGGTCAGCATGGTCTCTGTAGGGACTGGATGGTTTCCAAACTGACATTCTGTCTTGGTTAGGGAAATGTGATGTTGCAACATCAGAATTAGAAACCCTTCTGCTAGGAAGCCGGTTTATATTCCATTTTACTGGTGGAGCTGATGGGGACTTTATAGTCTCCAGCTGAGGCTTCTCCCTGACCTGGAGCTAAAGGATGCTATTAAGAGGACGGAGACAAAAGGCGCTTCCTATGGGTGAGAAACTTTAACCTGCACAGGCTCTGGATGACAGGAAGAGGCATTCTACTCCTCACCTACAAACTGAAATGGAAAACTCAGAACAGAGACATGAAGTTTTACATTCCTTGCAGGTGGACAGGCACTGCCTTTGAGAAAGATCAGACCTAGAGCCAGGAGCAGTGGTGTGCCGGGGGCCAGTTTCCCCGGTGTGAACATTCCCGCTGGAGCCTGACTTCAAGCTAGCAATGCGATCTCGCTGAACGGAGCTGGAAAGAGAAACACACAGCCCATTCTTGGAGGCCTGGAGGAGCCAGCTCCAGGCAACGAGAGGGAGGGAGCTAAGAAGAACAGGAAGAGCTTTCTGAGCAGTGGTGCCTGACAGAAAAGTAGAGGCTTACTTTTTTTGTTCTATTCTAGTTGAAATGTTCTATTTTAACTGTGTTTTCTGAAAGCAAGATATTCCTCTAGATACTGAAAAATATTCCAGAAAAGACTGTATCCAGGTGAACCTTCAAACCAAAAAGGCAATAAGTTTAAGGAATTTAGAGGAAACCTTCCAGGTAGTTTCCGTCATTTTAGCACCATTGTGGAAGAGCTAACAATCTCCTTTCTAGGGAGAATGTGACAGAACTGAAGGCCTATGATCTATAAGGGAAGGATGATAGTGGAGAGAGATGGAAGCATGTAGAGGGAAGAGTGGAGCCTTTAAAATAACATTTGTTCCTGGCTGTCCTACTTTGGTTATCATTCGTTAGGTGGTTTTAGAGTTGTAGGGAACCTAAAATACAGATTTTAGTACTGTGAAATATTAGAAAAGCCAAAACAAATCCAATCAAGCACTTAGTTCGGGGGTTGTAAAAAGATCTTATTTCCTGGACCTATCAGAGCTATTTGGATTTCCACTGAGGAGACTGAAGCTACATCTAGGATTAGTGCCAGGGTACTGTGATAGATTAGTGATGTCGGCCTTGGTTGTGGGAAGGCAGGTGGTGGTACACATGCTGCTTATTTGCTAACCTTAGTTACAAGAAAGCCTACAGGACACAGACTGGAGCAGTGGTGCTGATCCAATGCCATCAGAAGAAGCAGGGTACAATACCTCAGGAGAAAGAAGGTAATGAAGAGCACCATCCTTCAGGTTGTTCAGTGCTTCATCACTTGGAACAAAAACGGTGTATGGCCCACCAGGCCCTTGCCCGTCTAAGGCACTTTTCAAGTTGGTTTTCTGCATTTGAGAAATGAAACTTTGTATCTGTGATCGAACCCAGACAAATAGTTGCTATAATTTTCAGCAAGTGTTTATAGCTGATATTTCTGCTAATTGTACAAAAAACTCAACATACACATTTTTGAGAAACTCATGAAAGGTACAAACCTCCAAAAAAGTTCTGAAATGTCTGTATCTTGATGGTATCATGGCCATTATGGTTTGCTGAAAAGAGACATTTTGCTAAAGAATCAGTGAAAGTATACAAAAGTGGTTCAGGAAATAAAAATCCTAACATAAAGAGGAGTATAAATTCTAACACGGATTATAGCTGTGGGTTCATATAAAAAGACTTGATCAACTGCCACACATTATGCAAATGTGTTGCTACTAAAACAGTAGTTGAAATTTGTGTATTCTGAGTAGCCTTGGCCATTGTCCCATAGGTCAGAAAGAATGATTTAATCACGATAGTGATTGTTATTCTCTATAAAGGATGAGGAATACATTGTCATGACAAGGGGTCACTGAGCTTGGTTGTCTGATGTGGCCATAAGAGATTTTAAAACATCCACATTTTTTCCTACACACGCACACACACACGCGTGCGTGCACACACACACACACACACACTATATGTCTTTCTTTCCCTCTGCAGAAATACTCAGAATTGTATTGAAAACATAAATCATGGCAGTGTCTCCTAGCTTGAGACCCTCTTAGTAAAATGGACAAGTATGTAGCGTGGGCAAACACTTTTTTCTTGGGTGTGTCTCTCCACTGGACAAAGGAAGGTGGGCTGGGTTCATATCGCCTATACCTGAAACGTCTCACCTTGGAGTTGCTCTCAAAGGTGGGTTGTATCTTGTCCATGGCTGTGTCGAGGATGTGTATGAGCCCGTTGGAAGCAATGATGTTCCCCTCTACAATTTTTACCTTCTTTTTGCCTTTATGAAGTTCAAGCTTTATTTGATTGTCCTAAAATACCAAAGAAAGATAAAATAAAGTTAATATGGCATTCTGGAAGGGGCAAGCACTGGACTAGAAGTCAAAACTCCCGAATCCCTGGGATCTGTCACAGACTGCCTATGAGATTTTGGATAAGTCATGTGACTTAACATGAAGATGAAGGTGTCTGCTTGGTTGACCTCACAAGGTTTTCATTAAGGCTGAATGAGATGGCATGTGAAATCACCCATGACCTTGACACGTGACAAGTGCACAGGTCTTATGATGCCCTCCTCAGGTAACCTGCCAGCTTTGGAGGACTGAAGCTACTCAGTTCCCTGGGATGTCTCACTGGGTTTCGTGATACACAGAGAAGGCACTGCTACAGGGTTGTTGAATTAATAACTGAAGCTAATCACCTTTTCCACCCATGTGGCTCCTTCAAGTTCCAGACTTAATAAATGTCTGCTGAATTAATGAGTAAACATATGTCTGTCCCTGTGAGAAAGAAAGCCATATCTTCATATCTGTCATACATCCCTCCGTCTATCCCGCCATCTATCTGTCTGTGTGTCTTCCATCCACCCATCACACCGCTCTGTCCACCCACGCTCACACCCGCAGAACAGTTACTGCTGGGGGCGTTGGAGCCGGGCTGACTCACGCTTGAATGCGGATTGGCGCTTACTGTGTGACCTGTCCACTTTCCCCTAGGGAAAACAGGGGCTGTGACCGGGCCTCTTCCACAGGGACGCTGCCTTTCCCCTGACACAGATCCAGGTGTAGCCCTGTACTTCGCATGGGCAGGACACTCAGTGATCTATACCTACCAGTATTAGGTAAAGTGCACTAGCAGCCATAGCCTGCATACCCACACGCTGTTGATTAATCACTTGTTCTCCACAAAGTGGCGTCACAGAAAAAGTTATTGTGTTTGTTTAAAAACCCGCAGTACTAAAGGCTCCAGGAGAGACAGACACTAACTTCAGGACCTAAAACAAACACAGTCTGCGTCCTTCTGTAAGAGGATGGCTGACTGCTGGTGGGCTCTGTACTGGGGCTTCCGGGCACCAGGGTTAGAGTAGCTCATCTTCCTGCTGGGGTGGGGACGGCGATGGCGGCCTTGAAAACTGCATCAAGCCAGCCTAACCCCCGACACTGTGCAGCCCTCATTAGGAACCACCCACCCCTCCCTGCAGCTCTGGTGGTGTTTCCTGCTTCATTCCACACGGAAGGTATTTGATAAACGAGGGATAAGGAGAGAAGTTCTTTATAACCGTCCACCAACCCAGATACACACAGCAAGGGGCTTCTGGCGCTGGCTTGGTGGGCAGTTGGTCCCCGCAGGAAACTCAGCGAAGTCCTTACCTTGTCCCGATTGAAGATCCTCCCTGGGGCCCCAGTCAGGGTGTAGAAGGTGTCGGTGCTGTTCATTTGCTCCGTGTCCATCGGCCCGGCAATGATGTGAAGTTGCACAAAGTTCCGAGCAGCCGTAGGATCCTTCAGCAGCTCTTCGACCTGTGGGACAAGTGCTTTCTAGATATAAACCTCTGCCTTAGGCAGAGGCGCCAAAGCCAGAGCCCACCGAGGTGCACTGTTCCTCTCTTTCCCAGTACAGCCACCTGGGAGGGGCCTCAAAGAGCGTGGGAGCCTGGAGAGGAGACGCTCTTGAGTCTTCGGAGGCTGCGGCGATTGACAGACAGTCACCGTACCTAGAGGGTCAGTCAGGTGGTAGTGGGTGCTGAGGACTCTACCTCAAGCCCAGGAGGACGGGCAGGGAACACTGAAGATTTGAGAAAAAAGCAGCGAGTGTGGGCTGATGATGCTTCTGAGCCGTAACGCTTCTGAAATCTACATTGCCACTGGTACACATTCAGCCATCACTGAGCGAGCGCCTCGCTGACTCTGCGCAAACTTTACGTTCTCAACCAGAGCTGCTTTCCTCCTCCCCAGTGGGAAAGACGCCAGGTCATCTGATGGTCACCCACAGACCCCTCATCCAGACAGATGAGCGGCCGTGGGCATAGCAGGGCGAGCGACCCTGGACCTCACTGTGTTTTGATTTAATGTGGCAAAAATTATTATCACTACACACCTTGGATTAAGATAGCCCAGTTGTGCACCCAGCAGCAAGTCCATTTTCACACTAACCAGGCAGGACTGCTTCATTGCTGTTACCGCAATAGGACACTGCTACTGACACAAGTTTAATTCCTACTGTGTGACTTCATCTCAAACACCAGCTGCTCACGCTGAAGAGTAAATTTTTCCTTTTGTTTCCTTTAACACTGGTACAATTTATGACAGTTTTAAGGAAACAAATACCTAGCTAATGCATTCATTTTATTCTTCCTTTGGGACATGAGGACTTTACACTCATATGAATGTTATTTATCACATGACCATGTGTTAAGAGCCTGCAAGGGTCACCCTTGGGTGGGAAGTAGGAGCCAGAGGGCTTCTAGAACGCTGGTAATGGACTTGCCAGTTACATGAGTACCTCCACCCTGGGAAAATTCATTTAGTTGGACATGTATGACTTGTGTACTGTCCATAAGGCTATTTCACTCAGACGTTTATCCAGGGCTGCATTCTTCATTCATATATGGAAGGTGAGAGAGTTGATTTCCTAGCAGTAAAGAGTACAACACTGACCACTGGAGACAAGGAGGGTGGAGGGAAGTAGGGCTAAAGAAAGATCGGATAATGGATTCCAAAATATGGGGAGGGACTAAACTGCATGGTGAATGTTTATATTAAAAACAATTCATTATAGTAGAAGACACATTGCCATTAATGCGCCGTAAAAGCCTTCCCTATGCTTCAGACACATTTATCCCAGCATGCTTGCCTCTCTGCAGCAGTTCTTGGAGGTCCTCTCTCCTGAGTGTCTTTAGCGTTGTGACTCCTTGATGTCCTGTATCAGTACAAACATGTTTACCTTTCCCGGTTATCCTGACTTTGGGGAAGAACCAGAAGTCACAGGGCGTCCGAGCTGGTGAATAAGGTGGATGAGGGCACACCGCCATGCAGTTATGAGCCTGCCTTTCTGTTGGGTGGTGCTTGGCAGTAGCACCCACACCGTATTCTTGATCACACCTTGTAAAGACATTCACGAAAGAGGCCTTCCAGGGCTGCTTCAGAAAGTGGCAAGAATGGCGGGATGAGCTGTCTGAAGTGGGGGGTATTCTGAGGGAGAATCAATGGCCATGTGTCTTACTGTAATAACTTTAATGTAGACATCCACCATATATTTTGAACGCAACTCATACAGTTAGGTAGGAGAATAGGTTCTAGTGTTCTACAGCACAGTAAGTTGGCTATAGTATAATTTTCAATATATTATATAAAGAAGTAGAAGGGAGGAATTTGTTGGAGGGGGTGGAAATGCTAATTACCCTGATTTGATCCTCACACATTGTGTACATGTATCAAAGTATCACACTGTACCCCATACATATGTACAATTAGTATGTACTGATTACAAACAGAAAGAGTTTATCGGAAACTCACCAGTCACATCATCACAGGTTCAGCTTTAACAGAAGTTTCCCACTTTGAGTAAAGGAGGGTATTGTGCGTGAGGCTTTCACAGGAGCCCTCGGTGAAGGGGTTTCAAATACTCACGTTGAATGCTGTTGGCTCGCTTTCCGAGGGCAGCAGCAAGGTGAACGGTCCCAGGGTACTTAGTTGCCAGGCATACACTTTATCTGAGCAGTCGAGATATGCAGAGAAAGGAAACACCGGCAGGTCAGAGGTGCGTGAGGAGTGCGGCTGCGCAGAGGGCTGTGGGTCAGGACAGGTCCGCCTACGCCCTTCTCCTGTCCGCTTGCTGCTCTCGGGCCCTGTGTCCACTGAGAAGCTCCCTAAGGGTGCGAGGCACCGTGAAGAGCTGGCCCTGCGCATCTGCAGCACCGTCTGCAAGGTTGCCTTCCCCCAGCCTTGGCTTCACAGCTTCCCTGGATGAACAGGTCATGCATGACAAACGGGTCATACACAACAAGTTCCCCCGAAGCAGCAGGTCCCCGTCGCTAAATGAATCTGGCTTTCTGAGCTGCTGCCATCTCCGGAGCAAAGCCGTAGCCCTCTGTTCCGTCCAGGACACACTCAGAAGAGCCCCTCACTAGACTCACGCTCTGCTGTTACCATCTTAAAACGCTTAGTATTTGAACAAAGCACCTGACATTTGCATTTTGCCCCAGACTCTGCAGATTCTGCTGCCGGCCTGCATCCCTCTTTCCCCGGGGCGGCTGGAGCATCAGACCAGACTCTGTTCTCAGGCAGAAGGCGGCATGGACCAGCACTTGGTACCAGGGAAAGTGAAATGTCAACAGGACCCTGTCCAGGGGGAATGTCTGGGGTCCGGTCTGCAAAGGACTCTCTAGCGTGCTGTCTGCTGCCCTCTGGTGTTCTGAAAGGGAGGCTGTGAGGAGCCGGCCTGATATCCCCACGTCCGTGTTGCCCTGGAAACTCGTCACTCCCTGGGGATGACTTGGGCACAAGGGCCATGAATCAAGGGCGCACATGCAGATGTACGCAGAGAGCACAGCAGGGACCAGGCAGGATAGTTACCTCCTCACTTGTGTTCCTTCTGCAAAATCATTTTCAGCAGCTGATGAATTCAAATAGAAATGCGGGGATAGTAAGGCCTTTGTTGACTGCTTGTGATTTTTTGTGGACTTGCCACGTGGATTTTTGGTTGGAAGTCTTGTCCAGAGCCTGCTCTTCTCTCACCCGTGTGTCCCTCCCCAGAAGGGTGGATCCCAGCAGACCACCCTGCCCAGCCTTCCCTGCCTCTTGCAGGCACCCTGGCCCAAGAGGCGGCTGCCCCGGGGAGGAGGCTATGTCCACACGCACGTCGTCTGTGTCCCTACCCAGCAGCGAGATGAATGACGTCAGCTTTCCTTGCCATTTCCCCCGGGGCACGGTGTTGAGTTCTTGGAGTCGCTCCATGATGTTCCCATAGCACTTGAAGCCGTCACCCACGTAACCGTTCTGGCAGGTGCATCTGCAGGGGGGAAGGGGCACAAGCTCAGCGGCTGACAGCCACTGAATGTTGGGACCGCAGAGTGCAGTGCCTCATTTATTTTACATAGATTTTTTTCTTTTGAGACAGGGTCTTGCTATGTAGCCCGGGCTGCCCTCAGACTTGAGGAGCTCCTCATGTCTCAGACTCCTAAGTGCTGGGCTTACAGGTATGTGGCACCATGCCTGCCTCCAAAGCCTCATTTCATGGACCAGGGAAACAATGCCCAGAAGAGAGTAGGAACAAAGCTACGAGCAAGAGTTTAAGTGCAGCGCTTAAGATTCAGGGGTGACGGAAATATCCCATGAATATTTAAATAAAAAAAAAACTATTACAGTAGACGACACCCTGCTACTGCTCACTCTCAAATCCCCACTTCACTTCAGACACACTCGTCCATGGTTCATGGCAATTCTGGAATCCCTCTCTCCTGAGCGTCTTTATGAGGTGTGACCCAAAGTCTGTGTCAGCTATTCCTCAGGCAGAGGACTACTATCTAGACTATACAGTGGTGTCTTGGTTCATGAAAGTTTGTTTGTGAAAAATTTGGTTTGCAAACAAAAGCGTCTGGCAAACTTTGTTTTCTTTTGCAAACTCTATATTGGGTGACAAACATGGCTGTGGCCATCCTTCGTGTGCAAATGCTAACAGGGCCATATTTTCCAAAATTGTGAAATAAATGAAGTTTGAGAATAGAGATGCCACTGTATAAGGAACTCAAAAACTTAGATTCCATGGATAAAAGACCCATTGTGAAACAAACAAACACTTCTCTGAAGAAGTACAAATGACCCATAAATACATGAAGAAAGGCTCAGCATTTCTGGCTGTTAGAGAAATGTAAATTACAACAACATGGAGATTCCGTCTTATCCCAGAGAGGATGGGCATCACCAAGGAATCAGATAACACCAAACGCTAGCGAGGCGGCAGGGGAAAGGACTCCTTTTACACTGGTGGTGGGACTGTAACCAGTACAATCACTATGGGGATCATTATGGAGATGCCTCAGAAAGTGAAATCAGCCTAGCTATTCCTCTCCCAGGCATCTTCCCAAAAGGGTTAAAAACATCATATTATGGTGCTTCATGCAAACCTATGTTTCCAGCTGCACAACTCATCATAGCTAAACACTGGGAGAAGCCTACATGTCCATCAACAGATGAATGGTTGAAGAAAATGTGGTATTTCCACATAATAGAGTAACGCTCTGCCATAAAGAAGGATAAACCTGAGCGATCTGTAGGAAAAAGGACGCACCTTGAGACCATGATGTCAAGATAAATAAATCAGACACGCAAGTTTCAGTATCACGTGGTTTCTCTCATATGAGAAACCCAAAGTATAAATAAAGAGCAAAATAAAAGGTAGATAACAGCAAGTAGGGAGACAGAGCTTTCTCAGATGGGAGGGGGATCGAGAGATGGAGGGCGGAGAGGAAAGAGGAAGAAAGAAGGAATGAGGATATACTGTCCATGGGCCAGCGCCACGCAAGGGCCGTAAACATTGTGCACCGCACACAGTGCTAATAAAGAAAAGAATCTTAAAAATAAATTCAAAAAACATAAAAAATCAGACAAAAAAACATAGTGAATGCTGCTGCCACGCCATGTCAAAGAAGAGCAGGATCCTAAAAACACGATGCTCACCCATCTTGTTCACTGGATCTGCACTGTTCAACCTTTGGGTTGTCACCAAAGTGAGCATGACCACGAGGAAGAAATGTTTTAAATTGATTCAGGGCACTGAGGCAGCCGCAACAGAGCAAGCAAAGACACTCGTGAAAGAGGACTTCCAGAACTGCTTCAGAAAGTGCCAAGAACAGGATGAGCGTGTTCAAAGCAAAGGGTAGGATTTTGAGGGGGAGATTAATTAGTTGGCCTTCCAGAGAAGGTTAGTTAATGAGTTACCCCCATCTATCAACACTGGATGTCTTTGTATGCTCTTGGGTTCAGTCTTTCTCAAAGTGTGGTCAAGAGACCCTGCACAGACAATCACTTGGCATATTTGCTATGGATCTAGGGCCCACAGCAGAGCCCTGAATTGAAGTAAGCTACCCAAGCCAGGCTGCAGGACAGAGGAGATGCAGGACTACTGATGGCTTAGAATTCCCTTCCCCTGCTCTCTCCTAGTCGCATCTGTCCACTGCTCCTTCCCTTGGGAAGCCTTCTTTGATCGCCCTTACATAAATCAGCAACCCTTTTGTACACTCTTTCGTGGTACCAGGTCCTTCTTCTCTGTAGCTGCAATCGCAGATCTATCTGGTTATGTCATTTATGTCTGCTTCCCTATCTAGCTTTGGAAAAGGAAAGGCCTGTGTGTGTATTTGCTCCAGGTTGTAACCCCAGGATGTAGCCCATGGCTAGGTGGGTACTTTGTTAGCAGTTGTATGATATGATAAGTAGGCATTGCATTAAATAGATAGTGTACAGGATGAGTTTTAATATATAAGCAGTGAAATCAGATATAAACAACGAAAACCTGAGAAATTTTATACAATAGCCTCATAAGAGACAAAGAGTCACAGATGGGTAAATGTGCAATCACCCTATCTCTAGGGGGAAAGTCCTGATTTATAGCATTTGCCATTTTCCATGGTTTGCCTTCCTATGTTGGCCAATTTCAAACTATGAATACGATGCCAATGGGCTTGTAAAATCCCTGAAGATTTGGCACCCAGCTCGTGTGACTCAGTAAGCCCAGGCTGTTACAAGCCACTGGGACCTGGAAGAGCAGGTGATAGCTGGCTGACACTGACGGAGTTTGCAGGGAGGTGACACTCACCAGGATCCTAGAGCTGAGGAGGAACCGAACACTGGCCAGGGGAACAACATGCCAGGCACCAGAGTTAGGGGAAGCCAGAGTGTTGTGACAATGTAGTAGTTTTGTTGTGGCCACGCTGTGCCATGGGCTGGCTCACGTGTGGGAGTACTCTGAAGGGTAACTTCACTCTCTTTGGTCCAGCTGTGTTTCTAAATACGGTCCTGTGGCCAACAGGTTGGTTGTCACCAAGCTGCAGGACAAACCTGGGTTATGGCATGGGCCTCCTGACTGGTCTCGCTGCCCCATGATTCACACTTACATCTATGGGTGCCGCCTAGGCAGGGGCCTGCTGGGTCCTCTTCCCGCCTCTACCACCAATTCCGGCAGCACGAACTTTCAAGCCACGTTGTGTTGTTATGGTTGGGGTGTCTTTCTTAGGTCGAGTGCCCCTACCACGAATGCTTGCGGCCCTCTCCTGGTGGCTCATGTGTCACCTGCTCTGGTGGCCTCTCTGACCTCCTGACTCTTCCCTGCTGGTAGAGCTCTGCCCGAGCACCCTGTCCACACTTCCCTTCCAGAACTTTCCCCCAGAATCACAATTTTGCCGCTTGCTCCCAACAGACCTTGGGCAATCAATGTCTGGGGGCCATTTTGGTTGTGGACCTCTGCCACCCAGTCAGGTGAGGGCAGAAATGCTGTGTGTGGGCCAGGCCCATGAGACCTGGGACTGTCCTGCTGAAAATGTCTGTGAGGCTGAGGTGGAGAAGCCAGGTTAGAAGGAATCATGAAAGTAGATCTAATCCTAAGACAATACATGTTTAATACAATCAAATAACCATTGCCAACTACAGTGTCCACTTCCTCTCCAGTAAGGAGTGCCATGCTAGAGCACAGAGGGAGAGGACGACTAACTCTGGGAAGTGGTCGAGAACTAGCCCTGTTCTGAATTCCGTGAGTTTCACTGGAAGACACCGTTAACAAGAAATCTTCGCTAGCCACACAATTTATTTCCCCGTAAAAGTTCTTTCGGTTGTTATGAAGGCAGTAGTCTGTTTTGTGTAAAGTGAGGATGATCTTTAATGCCTTTAGTGCTGAAAGGAATGCATGAGGACATAAATAATTTTATGTTTTGTTTCACATCTCAGTCTAAAGCCTAAGACTTTATGAGACTGTTTTCTGACTTAAATAGTCTGTCCTAGGGCTATGCACATTCACAGCCTGGAGTCTTTTCTAAGCTATTTTTTTAATGAGGAGTCCTGCTGTCCTAAGGTTTTAAAAACACCTATAAGCCACTTGCACCATATAAATTATGGGTTGGAGAGAAGTGTTGCTAAATGCAGAATGAGATTTAGTGTAACAGAATGTCCCGGAATCTCAGTGCAGCTGCTTCCTTCATTCCTGCACTAGTTCAGTCCATTCCTTCACTGACTAATTTGTTCCTTAAACAAATACTTATTTCACTGTTTTAATCAGTGACAGTTATTAAGATGAGTAAGACACAGACCCCAAAGGACTTTGAATTCTAGCTGGGGATCAAGAACAGTAATGAGGATACTTGCTAGCACTTACTAATAGCTTCTGTGTCCAGTATCCTTACACTGTCTCACTATAGCCTCTTAACACAACAACTCCCAAGGTGGGTCCCATTATCTATACCATCTTGGATGAGGAGATTGAGGCACAGAGAGAGTAAACATCTCACTCAAGACCACGCAGCCTCTGAGGGCCACAGTGGAGCTCCTAATACCATACTGTGTGCTGACCATGGTTTGTGCTCTGAACGCTGGGCCAGGAGCCCGGGTAGGGGCACTGGAGGACAGCAGAGGAGGCCTACAGGAAGAGATCAGTCAAGGTGAATGTTATGGTTTGTGTCTGCATGTCCCCCCAAATCCTCATGCAATCATGGGGTGGGCTTCTAGGATCTGTGATTGACTCATAGTTCAATGCTGGGATTATGGGTGTGAGCGCTACACTCACCCTGGGGTGAATAGTTTGCATACAGTATAAGGGAGGGAAAGAGGCTGCTTGTGCTGCTCCTCCTTTTTGCTCTTGTTGCTTTTGCTCTTTTCTGCCACCATGAACTGTTGCCCTCTGCCATGTGCCATGCTGTCTTGGAGCCAGCCAACTACAGACTGAAACCTCCACAAACTGTCAGCTAAATAATCCTTTCCTTCCTTGATTCTGGGTGTCAGGTATTTTGTCTTAGCAATGAGAGAAAAGTAACTGAGACAGTGAGCATTGGAGGATCATGTTGGCTGGACTCAGAGGAGGCAGGTGTGCAGGGAGAGGATGATCTAAGTAGAAGGAAGGGCAGGCATGGGGCCCCAACTCGGGACTGTCATGATACACTTGAAGAGCAGCACAGTGGGCTCAGTGTTGGTGTCCCCCTTAAATTCACTTGTTGAAATTCAAAGTCTCAGTCTGCTATCAGGAGCTGGGAGGTGATTAGGTCACGAAGATGGGGCCCTCATGCATGGGATTGGTGCCCTTCCGAAAGAGACCCCAGAGCGCCCTCTGGCCCTCTCACCACCATGTGACAATACAGTGAACACGAAGGTGGTAGTCTACAGCCTGGGAAGGTCCTCACCAGAAACTAGCCATGCTGAACCCTGATCTCGGACTCCCAGGTGCCAGAACTATACTAGTGTTACACAAACACCGAGAACAATCAATGTCAACAACCTACAGTCTAAAAGTCACTGTTGTTTACAGCATTTTTGTGCAGTTGGAATGTAAGCTTGCCCAACCTGGGCCTGTTTTCTTTTCAGTTTAATGAAATAAGAGAGTTGCTGTCTCCTCTTCTGCCCCTTCTTTCCTCTCTGCACTCATGAGGGAAATAACAAAGTGCAATTGTACCAGGCAGGAAGCTAGCTGAGCTTCTCAGGGACCATCACAATGGAGCTCGGTGTTCAAAAGCAGCTGATGGGCATGGGCTGGTAAGCTCTGCCGGGGGTGTACTGTTGGTCTCCCAGTGAGCTATCTGGTTTAGGAGAGTTTAGACTTGTCCAAGCTCCCCCTGGTGGTGAGTGGTGCAGACCACGCTTGACCTCGTTCTAGACTGGGTGGTTGTCTGTGACTACCACAGAACGATTGTGTAGGTCTTGCAGAAGTGCTCACCCCGTGGAAGAGGGATGAGAAACATAGAAATTTATCCTAGGTGAGTTCAATTACCTGAGGACCTGTGACTGCCCATTTTGTCAGTCTAACTCAGACTTTTTACTCAGCCTCTTTCCCGGAAAAGAGAGTCAATTGATTTAATTACGTATTTGGGGGAGAAGCTTGTAGCACGCATATCCCTAAAACTCATTGCCAGTTCTACCAGCATAGTGTTAGCATGCAGCTGATGCTACGCTGACACTCCAGTTTCACTGTTAGATTTTTATCTCCTCCAGCACTAAGGAAAGAATTGACTTCAGGTAGTCTATGCGAAATTTCTCTGAGGATGGTAAAATAATACAGACCCTGGCTTGTTTAGTCATTTGCGTCTCTAGAATGTATGATCGAGGAACAGCTTTGCCCACACACTCACAGGCATGTGTTGGGACCCGCGGGCCTGTCTACACGGCTGGAGTGTGTTGGAATAGGCACCTGCGTGCACGGGATGATCTCTGTGTGACCTGTTCTGCTCGGGGGTTGAAGCATAACCTCTCACTTAATCCTTGTCACAGCCACGGTGGAAGGGAGAATTCTCCCCTATTTTATGTACGGAAAGGCATCAGTCCTGAGAGGCCATGTGGTGGGGCTGGGGTGTTTGCCCAGGGATTCTGATTCCCAAGCTCTTCCCACTCCACCCATGACAAGGGTAGAGCTGCTCATGAGTGTGGAGAGAAAGTGATGGCCAGAAAGCCTATTGGGCAAATCTGCACACAGAAGACCCAGTGATCAAGGTGGGACCCTCACAGCAGCCGGAGCAGGGGCTGCGGGAAGCACAGAACAGCTAAATAACTGCAGGGCTTGGTGCTGCCCTGATGCTGAGCTCCCAGTGGTACCATGAGACCCGCAAGACTCTGGTGGCAAGAAATGACTTGGAGCAGAGATAGAAAACAGCCTGGAGACCACGCACCTGCACCCCAGCCTCAGTTCAGCCACTACTCACAGCACCACGTGGCTGCCTCGCTGTCCCCACAGAGGCTTCACTCCCTTACGCACACTCAGCACTGCGGAGAGCAAACTCACCACTGTGCTCATTTACACACAGAAAAACTGAGGTCAGAGAGACGGAGCCACTTGCCCAAGGTCAGGCATCTGGCAGGGACCAGGCCAACACCCCTGTTTCATCTTCAAACTCAAATTCTGCACTCTCCTATCACATAAGCGTCCCGTGGAAGCATTTTTACACGAACATTCTCCCTCACAGCCAACCCCTCTTCAGCAACCTGGAAACACCTCTGGACAGCTTCACTGTCTCTGGTGTCACTGCACACTGCTAACAAGCAGTATTTCACGAGTGAGGAAGCAGGCACGGACGTTAGCGGTCAAGCTCCTGTAATCTCAGCAGCTAAGTGTTTGTGTTTTCCCAGGCACAGTGGTTTCCTTCTGTTCTGAGCACTCATACCAAGAATCAGGTAGGCTTTTGGGCATGGTGGCACATGTTTGTAATTCCAGCACTCACGGGGCTGAGGCAGGAGGGTTGCTGCAAGTGCACGCCAGCCTGGGCTGCATAGTGAGTTCAAGGCCAGCCTGCACTACAAAACAAGACTTTGTCTCAAGAGACCAAAACCAACCAACCAACCAACCAAACAAAAATCAAGGCAAGTCAGGGGTTCAGAGGGCCCTGATAGTCTTTACAAAGGAAATAAGTGCTCAGTGATTCACAATGATTAAACAGAAGGCCTTCAGGATCCACGAGGCTCCCCACTCTCTCTATGAGGGTTGGGGTGGATTTGAAGCTGGACGAGACACGATTCCTCCCCTTCCAGGAGCTCGCAGCACTGACCGGCCAGCACTTTCGCCACTTGCAAAGGTGGAGCCAGGACAGAGAACACTTACTTGGTCTGGCCTGGTGCGATCATGGTGCAGTTTGCATTCCTGTGACATGGGTTCTTAGACTTGCAGATATTGGTCATGCTGCAGCCGAACCCAGGCACGAAGTTGTGGTAATGCTCCTTACACTCACAGTGAGACTTTGGAAGCCAAGAAAAGAAAAACAAAGAGGATCCTAGTGAGTCACTGTGTTGGGCTGGAACCCAGGACATTCTGCACACCAGGCAGGTACTTTCCCTCTGAAGCCTCAGCCACGTTATAATTCGGCCATAAAAGCTGACTCCAAGTATGTCTGAGCTATACACTTCAACTAAAATCTTGCCAAAGCATTCAGAAATGGAAATCATGATTGTGTACCTTACCTATTGGGGAGTTTACAGCCCTTATTTGTAAAATTTAGCATTTGAGCTTTTCTGTTTCCTAACCCTGGACCTCCCTGACTACCTACTTCTGATTTCAGACTATCTACAGGTGAGTAGAGACTGGTGTTCAGATGAAGGGTATGCTTCTCCTTCTCCTTCTCTTTCTCCTTCGCCTTCTCCTTCTTCTTCCTTGTAACACAGATGGAACCTAGGGCTTTGCACTGAGCTACATCCTCAGCTATTTTTAAATTTTTCTTATTTTGAAATATGATTTTGTCAAATTGCCCAGAAGGGGAGGCAAGAGATGCCAGGGGCACCAGTTTCCCTTTGGTGGCTTCGTCCTGCTCTGAGGCCTGTGTTCAGCTCACCTGCCCAGGCCAGTCGTACTTGCACACTGTAGACTGGGGCGGGCAGTTCCCGAAGTCAGTCTGGCAGGGGTCCACCGGAAGACACACGCGGCCGTCCCCGACATGGCCTTTTCCGCATGTGCAGTTGTACTGGTTTGGTCCTAGGTATGTGCAGCGTGCGCTAGGGTGGCAGGGTCGTTGCAAGCATGGGTTGATGGCTTCAGCAGCAGTGACAAAATGAGAGGCAGCGAGCATATGCAGGGACAGAGAAGGAGCACGGGTGAGAGTGAATTGTGGTCACAGCAACCAAAGCTACTTCCTCAAGAGAGGAAGAAACATTTCATTGCATCCCATCTGACACCCCCAGCCCCATCAGATTGACATCTGGCCTCCAGAAATTGTAGCTACAAGTATTCTGCTGTATAGTATTACACCACATGTTGAGTGAAATGAAGTAGTATGAAAGAAAACTAATGCTTGTAGAGTGTCTAATACACACGGGGACATGTTCTAAGCATTTGCCATACATTAATGAACTCAAGTACTGTGTATAATCATGGTATAAGGAAAAGATTCTGTTATTATGCCCACTTGGTGGAGGGAAAAACTGAGACAGGGCAGGTTATAGCTGCCCTGTGGTTAGTAAAAGAGAGACAGGGGACATGAACCCAGGGGGGTCTGGCTTCAGATTTCATCTTAACAAATGCACAGTATGGCTTCTCCTAAGGAGAATAAACACACAGAGAAAATTTAAAAAAGAAACACCAAATTTTATACTAATATTGATGAAGATGATGTAAAATGTATGAAAGTCAATATGTGTGCTTGGATTGTAGGAGGAGAGATTGTCCTTCATTGAGGATTGCTGTGGCATGATACGGTTTTTGCCTTGCACTGCTGGTCTATCTCACGTAGCTACATAGAGCAAAAGAGGAATGGTTAATATTACATGGTTGAGCTAATGTTAAGGAGGCTGTGAATTGTTTTGCTGTTAAAAAGCCTAAACAGCTCAGTGAAGAACCTGGCAAGATGGAAATTCTACTCACGTTCACAGTTTCGGCCATCGCCTTCATAGTTGGGGAGGCATCGGCATTCTAGCTTTGTTTCGTCCTTACTCACAGGTGAACATCTGGAATTTTCTGGGCAGAGCAAGGCCTCACATTCAGGGACAGCTGTACAGAAAGATCATTGAGGTATTTGAACCGATTGAATAACCAGTTCCCCAAACCTCCAAAATATAAGATTTCCTTTTATTAAAAAGCAATGCAGGTTCACTGCTATGATTTTAAAAGTATAGACTACATAAAGACTAAAAGTATTTTAATTCTCATATCTCAGTCCCAATCCCCAAAGAACCAATATGCACAATCAATATAATACCTTTATTTATAAACTTGTTTATATGATTATTTCACCAAAACTGAATCTTGTGAAAATACTTAGCAAACTGATTTTTAGTTTACCAACATATCACAGAAGTCTTTTTTTTTGGGTTTGGTTTTCTCTGGTACCGGGAATCAAACTCACAACATTGTGCTTGCCAGGCAGGCACTGCACTGCTGAACTAACCCTCCAGCCCCTATCACAGAAGTCTTTAAGGATCTGCTACTTTAACCTCTAAAAACTGCACAGTATTTTGTAACGTTAGTGTAACATAGAGGACTACAAAGCACTCTAAAGAGTCTGGTTAACAAGTTGGGCTGGGGTAGTGTCATGGATGTAGGTGGACAGTATGAGACTCTGGGATCAGAGATGAAGGATGGTTTATTACTCCCATGAAGAACAGGAAGCAGAGTATCAGGTTTTGACACTAGCTTTGCCAAGCCCAGTTTCCTCTAGGCAAAGCAAAGGGGGCCGGATTGACCTCTGCACAGGCAGTGGGTTTTGTTTCATGAGATGTTCTGTTTTTATTTTTCCAATGGATAATCCATTATTGAGGGGTCAGGCACATGCTTATTTGAGTTGGTAATGTTTTAATATAACGAATTATGGAAAATTAGCTAGTGAACATCCAAAAGAATTCTAAAGAATAAAGGAATGGCAGACATATAACCACCCCCTGGGAGGGTGCTGAGATAGGTACCTTCCTCCCTCTAAGACTGCGAGGTAGACGTCAGCAGGAAGGGCAGTCCTTGGTCATGTTGTGGGGGAGAAGGCGCTGAAGTTCTTTGTTTGGGAGAGTTGTTGGAAATCTGCTTGGTTGGGCACCAGAGAGGGTTGTCTACGTGCAGGTGCCCAGCCTCAGGACTCACTATGTACACGGAGCTGCTGGTCACTGGGTGCCAGTGGGAGTAGGAGCTAAGACGCCACCCCTCAGAAGTGCTGTGCACTTCCCCACGTGGCCTGGGCACCTCTCGACGGATTGAGTAGGGTGAAGGCAAGGTGGCCAGTTCTCCAGATGTGTGTGGGACTGAGGAGACAGCATGCAGAACAACATATCCCTGGGCTGAGGCACAGGTTTGTGCCATCTGGGGCTCCTGCCTATGCCACCACTGCCCGGATCAAGCCCTGGGCGGTGCTCAGTGGCCAAGTGCTGGGGGAAGATGAGCGCTGCAGGAACCTGGCTCTGGGAAAATAGAGTAGGGCAGAACAAATGGAGAAAAGCTGTTCTCCAAGACCCTGGTGCGTGAGCCAGACCAGAAACAACAAAACCCACCGTTCTGCAGCACCTTCTATGGATAAGGTTCCACATCTTGCTGGCTGGTAGAGGGGAAATCTGTATAAAATCCACCTCTACTGTCACAGAGTAGGTGCACAGGGTGGACATGGAGCTGAGAGGCCATAAATCTGTAACTGGTGCAGGGAGCAAGCATGCCTTCCCTTTTCTCCCAAGGGAGACACTGTGTCTTCCACAGCTATTCCACATACGCACGTTTTTGAAAAGTCAGTCAGGAACAAGGAAAACCAGCAGCAAGATGTGCACACATGCGAGACCCGTTAAGAACCGTCTCCCGGGGGTGGCCGGCTGAATCAGCAACTCAGAGAGAATTCCCTCCCACCCCTTCCATACAGCACAGGAGGCACAGAAGAGGCTGTCCCTCCAGGGTTCCACTGTCCAGTATCCTTTGGATTCAGGTAGGGTCATGGACTAGTTCCTATGATGGAGTAGTGAGTGGAAGCTGTAACGAGCAGGTGCTTCTCTGCCCTCTCAGTTCCCGTCCATGGCTGGAGGCCGAGCACTCTGAGGAGCTACAGTGTCAGAGTCACAGTCAGAGGATCTGATTCTGAATAACCAGCCAAGAAAACCCACATGGACAGGCGCATGCGTGAGGACCCCACCTCTGTTTGTTAACCCAGAGCTCTCTGGATGTCTCAGTCCATGGTGCCTTTGGGTTTTGAGTTCCCTGGGCCCACAAAGATGTACCTAGTAGGTCTATTTACAAAATTTATAGACCAAACAACTCAGTAATTATGTCATGAGAACTTAGTAGCCATTTGCAAAAGTGCCATGCTCAATAGAAATAGAAGTATTTCAATTTCATTCTTAAGTTACCACCTTTACTTTGAAATGAACCATGGGAGTCTGTTGGACCCACTACTCAAGTTCCCAAACTCTGGAATCAGATTGGACTAGAACTTCCGGCTTCATTGATTTTTTTTACATCACTGCTTGCTTTTTATCATAGCAATCACTGGAAACACAGCTAGGCAAAGATAGCATGTCATGACATGGAACTAAAATTCAGAACCACTGATTAATGAACTTAATCGACCTCATGTTCTTAACCGACTCAGGCTAGTAGTTCTGGCGGCATCCAGCATGTGTCACTGTGTGTCCCTCAACAGTTTAAACTATCCAGTTACCTAGGGCTGCCTTGGTGTGTGGTGTTAGAACCACAGTGTCAAGCCACTGATTTTTTTTTTGTTGTTGTTGTTTTTTTTTTTCCGGTACCGGGAATTGAACTCATGACCTTGCGCTTGCCAGGCAGGCACTGTGCCGCTGAGCTAAATTCCCAGCTCCCAGTGTCAAGCCACTGAATTTTTGTATTTATTTCTTATAGCAGCTGGCTCTGTTCTAACCAGTCTTAGCTTTCAAGTTTTCCTTCAGCTGGTTTGCTTCTTACAAGCAAAATGCCGTGAGTTCCTCCTCGTACTTATTTTTATGGCTGGTGCTTAGACCTTTCTTCCTCCAGGGTAAATCCCAGAACTGGGCCACGGCAGCTCCTATGCATCCCCTAAAACTCAGTGATTAACTCCCTCACCCTAGGCTGTGGGGATCCACTTCACCCTTGCCTTTTTCTCAGATCCATAGATATTATCTGCCTTTTTAATCTGTGTAATATGATGGGAAAAAAAAAAAGGAAAAAACCACCCTGAAACCAAAGCAGAACTGAACCTCCAGAATTCTTACCCTGCCTCAGTATGGTTTGAATTTGTATTCATGGGGTTACTTGTGGGTTTATTGGCCTTTTTGTGTTTATTTCTGGCTTTCATTTCTTATTCTGAGTCTTAGCTTCTCCTGTGTCTCTATTTACAATTGGATCATGGACTTCATACTATTATAAAAATTTATCTGCGATGTGAATTGCAAATTTTTTTTTGCCATCGCCTCTTGTTTATCTTCTGGTGGTGTGGAAATATTTTTTCACTTGGAAGCACATCTGAGCATGTTCTCTGTTAGTCTTGCTTCTTACCAAGAAGGCTTTGCTCCCAAGTCACTGGGCAGACAGGGGTGGCTGGGGAAGGTGCTGACTGGAGTCACAGAGAGGACACCTACTCACCCCAGTCTGGATTGGAACGGGTGGTTTGCAGCGTCAACCTGAAGCTCCGTTGTCTGTTTGGCGCCCTGTGTCCCAGCTGTGCACCCAGTTGCACTGTCCTTGGGGCACCTTGTATCCTGTCCTGGGCCCGGTGCTCACCTTCTGGCAACTGTCCCCATGTAGACTCTGTGTGTCCCAGGCTGCATCCCCCGCACCTCTGCCCACCAGCCTGTGCTCACCAGGGCCCTGGAGTGCTATCCCTGACTGCCCGCCACTGTGGCCCAAAGTTGGCCTAGGCAAACAGCCAACATCTCCGCCTCCTAGTGAGCTGCGACCATAAGCTCTCCGCCAAGGCTTGTGTCCGGCCTCCTGACATGGCATTGAGGAAGCCGCGGGACTTACGTGTATCACAGCTGGGGCCGGTGTAGGCAGAGTAGCACTCACAGCTCCCATCGCCTTGGAGGCCGCTGTTGCACACACCGTGTACACACTTACACACTGCAGGTAGAAAACGGGATTGTCATTACTGGGAAGAGATGGTTTCTGAAGGTTCTGAGAGGGAGCACTTCCAGACATCCCTTCCTGAGAATCTGCAGGAGGGCATAGGGACACGGGGCTTTGAAGTCCTCAAGACCGTCGTTTGAACCTTGGCTTCGCATACTTTTAATAGCTGAGGTTTTTTCCCACATGTGACTGGTGTCTGAAGCAAACCTGGCCTATCAGAAGCATTGGAATTTTTTTTTTGTATTTGCACTTTTTGCTTTACCTTCAATTCCTTGACATGAGGATTAACTTCCTATCTTACACACCTGCTGAACTTCAAAGAGAATAGCTACCATAGGCTCAGCCATTGTTGGGTGCAGCGATCTATACAGATAAATACAACTTCTGGAATGAATGGGACAATCAAGGATTCAAACAGAATGCAGGGCTAGGGCTGTCTGTAATCCCAGCACTATGGGAGGCCGAGGCAAGAGGATCTCAAATTTGAACCCAGCCCAGGAACCAGCAACTTAAGGAAACCTTGTCTTAACAACAACAGCAGTAACAATAGCAACAACAGAGCAACAACAACAGCAGCAGCAACAACAATAACAACAGCAGGAGCAACAGCAACAGCAGCAGCAGCAACAACAACAATACTAACAACAGCCACAGCAGCAGCAGCAGCAGCAGCAGCAGCAGCAGCAGCAGCAACAACAACAACAAAGCTGGGGCACAGCAGCATGCACCCTCTCCTAGTTTAGCATCTCATGCAGGCTGTGCATATGGCACCATTGTCACCGGTCACTTTTCCAGCCCCTCAGGACCTAATCTTATCCCTTGTAGGGTCCCTGCTGCTTCTCTGGGGTCTAACATGTGGTGGGTGCTTGTCAGGAGCAGGATGGTGCAGGGACCCAGCTCTGGAGTCAGACACCTGGGGCTGAGTCGCGCCTCTGTCCCATCATAGCTCCAAGAACTCCAGTGACTTCTTTGCTTCATCACTCACAAAATGAGGACACTCACTTGATTAAGGAGGTGCACAGAGGGCTCAAGAGATTACTCTGAGAAGCCTCCTTGTTCACTGCCTGGCACTGAGTAGGTGCTTAGTGCTGTTCTGTTCTTATGAACAACACACGGCTGTGGATTGATTCAGGAGTCATGCTATGAAAGGTGGGATTTGCATTCTCAATAGCTGGGAGTGAGGCTCTGGGGAGATGAAAACTGTCGGTCAGTGCAGCTCTGAATCATCCCTAACCCACACTAGAGAGCACTCTCATAGTGGGGTAAGGTCAGCATTAAAAATAGACTGCCCCAATAGAGCTGTCCCTTTTCCAGGCTGGAGTGCCACCTCCTCAGGACCAAAGCAACAATGGATGATACAACAGGCGGCCAGCGGACACCTGGCTAAAAGGGCTCACAAGCTTCCCTGGCCCTTGACAATGGAAATGGCCAGCCATCATTGATTCCTTCCTTCCTTCCTCCCTTCCTTCCTTCCTTCCTTCCTTCCTCCCTTCTTCCCTTCCTTCCTTCCTTCGTGTAGTTATTTATGTATTCATTCAGCCAATCAATGCAGTGCATCCCTACCAGGCAGCACCACTGTAGAAGCTGCTGGAGAAGAAGACACAATGGTGCTTTGCCTTCATGGACCAGAAGGACCCCAAGACTCTAGCTGCAGAGGGAATTTAATACAGAGTGTGCAAACTTTGGGGTGGGATGTCAGTATGTGTAGGATTTCTTGCAAAAAAAAATTTGAATTGGAGCATTCTACCAAATTTAATTTTTGCTATGAAAGCCAAAACTAAGGTGGTATTGGTGAAAGGCTGCCCAATAGATTCCTTTTGGAGGGTCGTGGATCCAGCAGACACTGTCTCTACCACACCTGCATTTGTGAGCTTTGGTGAGTACATCTCAGCCGGCTTCCAGCATCCATTGCTCTTTGTCTGTGGGTTTTGTGTGAACCTTAGGACAGCTGCCCAGCCTGAGCTCTTTGATCCTGGGAGTGCGGAACCATCAACTGTCCCCTGATGGCTGTGTATATTCATTTCCTCTGGCTGCTATAAAATCACTGCAATCTTAGACTTGTGATCTGGATGTGGTTTTGGATTGTCCCTTGGGGGTTTAAGTGTTGCAAGCTTGGTCCTCAGTGTTCAATGTTAAGAGGTAGTGGACCTTTAAGAGATGGAGCCTAGTGGGAGGTCATAGGTCATAGGGTGTGGCCTTAGAAGGGAGTTGGTAGTTTTTCTGCGACCCTACTTAGTGCTGGAGAGAGGGATTGTTATAATAGGGCAAGACAGACCCCTGCCTCCCTGGCTTCCTGTCTTGCTGTGTGATCTCTCCTGGAGAAAGTGCCATGCACCGTGAGGGGGTGCAGTTAGGGGTGTTCCCTAGAGCCACCATTATTCTGTGAGCAACATTAATGTCTTCAGAAATTATTCAGCCTCGAGTATTTTCTTATAGCAATGGAAAATGGACTAAGACACCTAGTGTCTTAAAACAGCACAAATTCATCATCTTACATTTCTAGAAGTGAGAAATCCAAAATCACTGTCCTGAAATCAAGGTGTTGATACATGTTGGTAAGGTTTCCTTCTTGCAGGCTTGAGGAAGAATCTTTTCTTCCTTTACCAGCTTTGGAAGGGTGCCTATGTTCCTTGGCTCATGGCCTCTTCCATAGCTGGTGGAGTCTTACACAGTGTCACTCTTATGTCCAGTCCTTTGCCTTTCTCCTCCACATTCGAGCTCCCTTGTGATTACATTGAACACCCCAAATCATCCAAGAAAAGCTATTATTTTAAGGTCAGCTGATTAGCCAACTATCTGCTACCTTACTTCCCCTTTGCCGCATTGAGTAACATATTCCCTGGTCTCAGAGATTAGGATGTGCACATCTTTGCCTTCTGCTGCCCTTTGGGGTTCCCTCTCCCCATGGGTAAGGTAACTGCAGGATCGATGTGCCCTTTCCACACCCCCCATGTCATGTCCTCAGATCCCAGTGTTTCCTGGGATCACCTTTGACGTAAAAGGCTTGTACTGAAATCCTTGTCTTCAGGTCTACTTCTGAGAGAAACGAATGTGAGGGAGTGGGTAAGCAAGGGTTGGGTGTTAATTGAATCTGCAGCCAGCAGTCTCTGACCTCTGCAGACAATCTTCTGTGAACTCCCCAAAGGAAGGGAAATGTCAGAATGTGGAGGACCCACGATGGACTTAGAGATCCCTGGGTCTACGCTGAAATCAGGGTCCAGGAAGACTTCCTGTAAGGGTGTGTGTGTGTACAGGGGCAGCTTGGATCTTGGAACCTGCAGAAGGAGAGGAAATCGTGTCCCTCCCAAGTGTCCCAGCAGGCTTTCCCGCCCACTGCAAGTGCTGAGGACTACCAAAACGCCGTCGCTCTCTTCAGTGACTACATCTCACCAGACTCGCTGTCATCTGTTTGCCCGTCCACAAAGGGCTACATGTGAGCATCTCATGCTTCCTCTCAAGGGCTTCTCAGGGGGCTCTCAACCCTCCCAAATGTGCTGATGACACAAAAGGCAGACATACCTGAGGAACAGTTGGGTCCAAATAAGTAGTCATAGGCGCAGGTTTCACAGGCTGTTCCACCAAAGCCCTCCTGCAAAACACCCCAGAGGGCTGACATCAGACTGAGGGAGCCTTGTGTTCCCCAGGAGACCCCGCTTGTCCCCTTGATGAGTTTGGTTAGCATTTCTTTCCCCAGCTGTATCTTCCCCTAAACTCCTTCTTGGGTCCTCCTGTATCCTTGCTGTTTTTGGTGTGCTGAGGAGTGCACGAATCCCTGCGTCACTGTTTGTGCAGGGCTCCAGCCCTGCTGGAGGGAAGGAAGCTGTGTTGTGAGCCCAGTGATAGAAATAGCAACTGCTGACAGTCGCATCCCAGTGGCACCCGAGGACGAAAACAAAACGCTTTCTGTTTTGCATATCTTTTTCTTTTTTTTTTTTTTTCTAGTTTTGCATTTCTGAAGACAGTGAAGCTCAATGCCTTTCAGAAGGATTTCTTTGTGCGCAAAAAGTCACTTTCATGAGAAAAAGAAATCCTTCAAGTGGTAGATGGAGTAGTCGGCAAAGGACACTAAGGCATTGCCTGATAACAGCAGTGATTTTTAACAGCGACAATGACAGCAATTTCTGTGGCCCTGCAGAGTTCCACAAAGCATCTTTACATAGAAGGCCTTGTTTTACTTCTTTAGTAAATTTCACTGCGTAGATTTTCCTTCAACCCCATTTAACAGATGGCTCTGGTTAAGGCGGAGCAGTGAATTAACTCGCATCAGAACCCCAGCCTCTGAGAGTCATTCTGTTGGAGAAAACATATTTTTGATGCCAATACATGTGCCACTGCCTCTTTGGGAGACCACCTTGTGGGTGTGTGTGTCGAGGGGCGCCGGTAGGTAAGAAATGAGGACCAGAAAGGCGGGGGGGGGAGCACATTTGTGAACTCACTTGGCAGAAGCAGTTTCCGCTTCCGTCCATACCTTCTGCGCAGCTGCCCCGGCCACTGCAGGGTGACTCCGCTCCTCCCGGGCACTCTAGGGAAACAAACAGTGGGATTCACTCACTCAAGACCGCACATGGTTTCCTGTGAGGATGTGCTAAGCCAGGCACTGGACACCACGAGGCAGCTAGTGTGCTAGCTGCCAGGGATGTGAGCTACCTGGAGACCCTGTTGGTGGCACGCAAAGTTTCACAGGAGAGGCAGATGCGTAAGCGGGTGGATTTGAGCATATTCAGGTGTTGTGCTAGGAGACTTCGCTCTCCCATTTCGGAGCACTTGCTATACATTTTGCAAGTATCTGGTTAAGTGATTCCCACTGCTACCCTCTGCTGTTAGCACAGCGATCCTATAACCTGCCTTGAGTCTTGCACTTCATAAGATTGCAAAGTTGGGCAGTTAGTTCAGCCCTTAAGCATGACTCAAAAGCCAGGCTTCTTAGTGTGCTACATAGGGCCTTGTAGGGACCCCGAGAGGGAAGCTATTGGTATTCCTGGGTCAGTCTGAGAGACGTTCCCAAGGAGTTATGTAAGCTGGGGTTTTGAAGGTAGAGTAGGAGCTGCTTATGCCTTAGACAGAAGAGCATTTCTGGAACAGGAGTGTAAGATACCATCTCAGAGCCATAAGCGATCATGGGCTCTTCTGGGAACAATGAAAGGTTGGTGGGCTGGAACGTGGGAGTGGCCGTGTGTGGATGGGCCCTCATGACAGAAGAGCAATGAGGAAAGGGATTTAGATTTCATAAAGAAGCCCACTCCAAACAAGCATGGATTTGCACTTCCGAGTTGAGCATGATCTGAAATAAGGCTTTCAGCAACATTTCCTGGAAGGTCCCATAGTCACTCATCAAACAGCCCAGTGCTCGACTCTGTGTTGGGCAAAGAAACAAGGAGCAGGAAAGCCAGATTGACACAGCCCAAACCAAGCAGAAAAATATAAGCAGTGATCAGCGACACATGGAAATTACTACTGCGGTGATGATGGAAAGGCTCAGGTCTTGCTCCACACTGAGGGCCAGTTTGGGTGAGTTCACGCCCCGGCAGCAAGCCATCTGGATCGGCAAGCACCACGCTGAAAGCATGCAGTGGGTGTGGAGAGTGTCTGTGTGAACGAGGCAGGATAGGGCCTTACCCGCACTCAAGTTTGCAAGCGAGAGATGCAGGCTTCCCGGTACTAATGGAGGGCGGGTGTGCTCACAGCACACAGCAGTGCCCTCAGTTATGTGCTGCTGTTACCCCACTTTCTGGCTGGGTAAAGAGGCACAGAGTGGTTAAGGGACTTTCCCAAGGTCAATAGGCTGGCAACAATAACAAGAGACTCCTTACCTGTCCTCGCTGGAAGTGTCTGCCTAACTAACTGCTCCCTCCCCTCCTGCTCACCTGGGAAGAGATCTCTGCCCAGAGCTTTCTTACTTACTTTCACTTACTTTACCATATTTTCCCCCAGTCATCATGAAAAGGCATAGAAAATGCAAGGGCAGTTACTGTGGTTAGTTCAGGGTACTACTGCACAGTTCCTTAGCCTGGGGGCTTCTGCACACAATGATTTGCTAGAGATTTGGTGTCTGGTGGAGGCCGGTCTCCTGGTTCATAGATGGAGCCTCTGCAGCTCACCCTCACACAGTGGGAGCACTGTGGGCACATGCGGGGGCCTTTTTTATTCATGGGGATACTGATTCCACTCACAAGGGCTCTCTCCTCATGACCCAACCCCCTGCCGAGGGTCTCATCCTGAGATAGCATCACAGTGATGAGTAGAGGTCAATGTATGAATTTCAGGGTGTCCCCACGGTTCACAGGCTGGAGGTTTGGTCTTCAGTGTGGTGACATTGGCAGCTGGTGGGACATTTGTGGGAGGCTCCTGGGAGATCCTTGGATCCACTGGGGCTGAGCCCACAGAAGGGCCTGAGGTGTATTTCTGGTGGGATTCTGGTTAGTTCTTGCAAGGGAGTTGTTCTAAAGTCAGAGCCCCCTCATCTTCTTCCTACCCTGTTTGTGTTTTTGACTTCAGACAGCAATGACGGTGCTCACCAGGGATAAGTGATGCAAACACCATACCCTTGTGGTCTCTGAGACTTGAGCTAAGGGAACTTTTTTCATTATAAAGTCAGCCTGCCTCGGATATTTCCTTACAGTGACAGAAAACAGATGAATGCACAGAAGGACTCAAACTTTCAGACTAGAGCCACAGTTCTGGAAAAAGAGACTTCTGAGCACAGAGAAAGATGATTCTCTGGAAGAGATGCTGTTGCCTCCCTTGATATGATCTTTCTTTGAAAGGTCATTTGTCACGGGCAGGTACTGTGGAGGTGAGCGGTAAGTTCTCATCCACAGATGGGTTCCTCTCTGGCTGTTCCTGTTTCTCCCTTGCACTCACTCAGAATGTCAGGGTCTAAATTGCACACTCTGAGTCTGTGGCCGGTGGCAGAGCCAGGCTTCAGCCTGGCAGGAGCTCCGGAGTCTCCTATGCTGTTTAGGACAGCCGCACTGAGCAGCGGCCACAGCCCAGGGCCACAGTGCAGACGGCAGAGATGCCGGTGAGATGAGGGCAGGAGAAGACAATAATGCGCAGCTAAGCGTTAAAGAAATAAGAGCTTGTTTTGGGCTGCTCTCCAACAGGGCAAGGGGTGACATGGGAGGAGAGGGTGTCACGGAATCAGCCAGGACATTCCACTCAGCGTGTGCTGGGTTTGAATCCCAGCCCAGCGCTTGGCTAGCTCTGTCCCTTTGCAGACTCTATGCCCCGCTCTGAGATTCAGCTTAAACGGTGCTGGGACAATGTTGTCTTCCTGGCAGGTTGGGGTTGGAACTGAAGTGTTTGGTGCCCAAGAAATAGTAGCGACTGTGATTCAGAGTGACTGTCCTCCTTCTTGGCTCTGTTTTATTGATCAAATTATTTACTTTAGATTGGCACTATAACAGTTAACCACTCTCATGAAATAATTTACCAAGCACTCGTTTGAACCAAACCCTAAGAAAGGTCTTGGGTGTGTAAGGTGTGGGACATGCTTAAATTATTAAAAAATCTATTACAGTAAGAGGCTCATTGCCATTAACTAGCCTCCAAATACCCTCCGTAGCCTTGAACACACTTATCCTATCATTCTTGCTACTTTCTGAAGCAGTTCTGGGAGTCCTCTTCTGTGAGTGTCGTAATGAGGTGTGGTCAAAAATACAGTGTATGCTGCTGCTGAGTGCCGTCCAGGGGGAAGGCAGGCTGGTGACAGCATCATGGTATATCCTCATCCACCTTATTCAACGAATCTGGCACTGTATGACTTGTGACTTCCCCAAAGTCAAAAGGATCGTGAAGGGAAAACTCCTTCAAACTGACACACGATACCAAGAAGCCATGCCACTAAAGACACTCAGGAAAGAGGACTTCCAGCACGGCTGCAGAAAGTGGCAAGAATGACGGGGTAAGAGTGTTTAAAGCAAGGGGGGAAGATTTTAAGAGGGATTAGTGGCAATGTGTCTCTTACTGCAATGCATTTTAAAAACTTTAGCATTCATCCTGTTTTTTTAATCATAACTCCTATTTTTCGATCATACCTGGTGTTAGGGTGAACACACATATCTGCCCCTATTTCCGTGGTCCGGCCAGGTGAGGGAGGACACAGTCATGGATTCACAGGTAACCAGATTAGCCTGATTAGAAGGGGCTAAGGGCTGTCTGGGAAGAGACCTGGTGCTCCCATCACCTCCTCCTGGAGGTTTTCAACGTTTACCCCAACCAGCCTTGTCCCGCACGGACTTAGTGATTTACCTCTGGCCACAACAGGTGCTCGCAGCCACCTCATGAGCAAGGGTCTCGATAAGATTTCTGTCTCTGCCTGAAGAAGAGCTGCAGGAGGTGAGGACGGAGAGGAGGAGAGGCCTGGAAGCTCTTCTGACAAGTAGGTAAGCCCGGAGGCCACCGTGCCCACAGGGCGCTAAGCAAGCGTTTTCATAGAGCCCTCACTGTCGCCCAGCTCTCCCGCTTGCTTTTCCTGTTGGGCCCTTCTCGCTAGTGCTGGTGTTTGGGGACAGCCAGTGCTGGGCGGGATGAGGAAGGTGGGGACCTCTGGAGCCCATTCTTGCACCTGTCCCAGCGCGGCTTGTGCGAGGTGCCCCCTGGGTGGCGCCCGGCTTTGTCGCTTGCTCAGGAGAGCGCCGGGCCTCCTGCACCCTGAGCCGTGCCCTCAGCTGCCTGGCCGAGATACCCTCCGGGAACTGCACTTGCTGGCATCAGCACCCAAGGCTGGGTCCCCCATTTCCACGCATGGCGCCAGCCCCTTCCCCCTTCCATTTCTTCCCTCCAGCCCCAGCAGGCTACTCCACTTCCGAGCACGGAGCCCTCCGCTCCGCACCTCCCCTGCCCCTCCCACTCGCCCTGGCAGGCCAGTTTGACTTTTCCTTCCTCTGGGTCCTCCTGCCCCCCGCCCATGCCTGTCACCGCACACACAGCAGGAAACAAATGGGGCAGGGGGCTGATGGAGAATATAGCCCTGTTCCAGCTGAAGGCGGGTCCCGGAAGCTGGGGACGTCCCTCCCCACCATCTCCCAGAGTGTGATTGTGTTAGGAAGTCCCGGGAGTTGGTGAGCCTTTTATGGTAATCATTTAGGCGCTCTCTGAGAAGCTGCCCTGGCCCAGCAGTTTTGGATCACTTGGGAGGGGGACTGTCACAAGGGCAGGTCCTCAAGGCAAGCCAGGGCAGTGTACCCTGAGAGCGGCAAAGCTGACAGCGTTAAAGCAGCCAGACATCATTTAGCACCGGGGACGTAGAATGGGTCAGACGATGTTGCCCGTGTGAGTATCATGGCGAGAAAGATGACCGTGATGTCCCTAGGAGAATCGTCTATGCCACTGGCGTTCTGAGTGTGGCTGTCACTGACTGGGACACGACGGTGCCTCAAAATCCACCCTGTGTGCTCAGAGCCACTTCCTGCGACTGCCTCTGCCCAGAGAGCAAGCATAGCGGGCACTCAGGCCCGCCCGTGGCTGCAAGACTCGGGGCTCCCGTGCTGGGTGACCTTGGCGGGAAGACCTCCCTTCAGT